CGGGGGAAAATGCCTACCAATCTACCAGATCTGCATAGTTTCTCTTAATATTTGTTGGAATTCAGCGCCTAAATTATCCAATATTTTTCTTTTCCCTCTGTTTAAGCTAATAAAATATAGTCTAGTGAATAATAATGTGGCCTCTAGATTCAAACTTAACCTGTCTGATTCTTCACTTAAAATATATTATTAATATATGCTGGTATTTAATAATGAATGAGATATTAATAATATACCTATAAGTTATATAACAATGTCTAGCAATAGACAGTACCCAACGCATCTTGGTTTTTTTAATTGGGGAAAAACGTGAACACACACACACACACAGATGCATGTGTATATATGTGTATGCATTATACATGAAGGTATAGGTATTAATCCATGATAGCATATATATTTTTTCACACAAAAAAAATGAATGAAAATGTATAGGTCAACATACAGTTTACTTTAGCAATTTAGAGAGGTATTTATCACACTGAAATGTTGAATTGAAATTAAGTATTTAAGCAATAGTAGGACTTGACAGCTTCTAAAAGTCAAAGTGGAAGAGGAAATTATCACTGGGGGAAACCACAATGTGGCATGCTTAATCTACTTTCACTATTAGCTAAAGAATTCTTAAATTGTCATATACGAGTAATTATCAAATTCTTGCTTCACTCTGTGTTGTTTAGACAGCTTTGCAGCTCCCCTGTTCACCAGATTTATGACTTACTTTGGTAAGTCCTAACTTACTCCTAACTTGGTATTCTTAAACTTTTGAAATTCTTACCCTTTATTATAAACTTTCTAAATAATAGCAATTTTATTTCTTCTGATACAATTCTGCAAACTTTGTGTATGTCAAAAGCATATGTGGCAAAACATTACAATCTGAAGAATAATACATTTTTCACTTAAATATACTATATTTTATTTGCAAATTTGGATATTTCAAATTCATCATTTACATAAATATCTTGTAAGTGAACTGTTAATGTGGCCTACCTAATCAAGATGAGACTAATTACTCTTTGATGCAATGCAACACGTCACCCAAAGCTGGCAAGAATTCAGACAAACTGGATTTCTCATACATTGGTGGTGGGAATGTAAAATGGTACAGCCACTCTGGAAAATAGTTTGGTGGTTTATTAATAAAAAAGAAAAACAGAAAACAGGCAAACAGTGCTCACTTCAGCAGCACATATACTAAAATTGAAACGATACAGAGAGGATTAGCATGGCCCCTATGCAAGGATGACATGCAAATTCGTGAAGCGTTCCATATTTTTTGCAATCTTTGTGGAAAAGAATTTGGAGATACCTCAAACAGCTAGAAACAGAAATACCATTTGACCCAGCAATAGCATTGTTGGGCATCTACCCAAAAGAACATAAGTCACTCTATTATAAAGACATCTGCACCCGAATGTTTATGGCAGCACAATTCACTATTGCACGGTCATGGAAACTACCCAAGTGCCCGTCAATTCATGAGTGGATAACTAAAATATGGTATATGTTCACAATGGAATATTAATCCTAAGAAACGACAGTGAGCTAGCACCGTTTATGCTATCATGGATTAAGCTTAAGCACGTAATACAAAGCGAGACGGCACAAGATCTGGGAAAGGGGCTATACATCTATTGACCATCAAATTGGTACTGATTGACTAAAACTATGGTGCTCAAGAAATGGCAGTGTTCAACAAGGATTTGGGGGGGGGAGACCCACATCTTAAGGAAGTGGTGAGCATTGTGGGGGGAAAGGGATTACCTTTATCCCTTTTTAGGGAGAGACAAAGATATACATTGTAACCAAAAAAAAAAAAGAAATATTGTTTGTGTGCATCACTACTTCAAAGTTACAGTAGTTATGAGAACTGCTGCTGGAATTTGTTTAATATGTTAATAAAGAAGCACATATATGATGACACCAGAAATTCTTTAATAATAGTTATTTCAATGTTGTTGATTTCTTAGTAATAGTCTATGTTTAATTTTATACATTTAAAGACATCATTCTGAGAAGGATCCATAGGTTTCATCAGACTTCAATAAAGGTTTATAGCACAAAAACCAAAACAAGCAAACAAAAAAGAAAACAGGCAAACAAACTGAGAATAGTCTTGACTTAGCAATTTTACTTCTCGCCATTTATCCCAGGGAAAAGGAAATTTATGTCCATATAAAAACATGCATGTGACTGATTAAAGACATTTACTTTATAATAGCTCCAAACTAAAAACAACCCAAATGTTTTTTAAATTGGTTAAACAGTGTCAGGAAAGCAGAAAATTACAAAATGTCTGGGTTTGCTGCTGGTGCTTTTAGAAGGTAAGCTCATGTCCTCCCACAGAGACTGGGAGACAGGAGCCTGGATATTAGGTTATGGGTAGGATAGCCAGTAAATTCTTTGGGCAGCTTTGAATTTTCTCAGGCAGGCACCTTAAGGGGGATTGGCATCATCCTGGGAATGTGGCCCTGAAGTATTAGAAACTATGTTAGTGTTTTTCCAAATCTTTATATGCTAAGGTTGAGGCCTAGTTGAAAAGAGGGTTCAGAACCTGGCTAGAGTTTGGTCAAGGAAATCATCTTTGTCAACTACTGTTATGTAAGATGTTACCACTGGAGGAAACTAGGCTTATGGTACACGGGACCTCTGTGTACTATATTTGCAAATTCCTGTATATCTATAATTATCTCAAAATAAAAAATTAAAAATATTCACTGTGTTATATTGTCATAATTTAAGCTTGTTAGTGTTTAAATGTTTAAAGTTTGCCATAATCTTAAGCAGTATATGGGGTAGAGAATTTCCTAAACAGCCAATATTTATTTAGGGAACATAAAAAGTCTTTTTCTCATCAATAAATTCTTAGCCCTAGGTTAAGAATTTTCTGTGTTTAATTAATTTTGCATAATGAATGAATATATTGATAGTCAGCTAAGTATTTATTAGGGCTATCCAATCTCTTTAATCTCACTATATGCATCAAAATTCCTATATTAGCTTTATTCAGAAAGAAGCAGAACTGCTCCTTTATACTCTAAGAGAGTAAACTATTTACATCACAGTCCAGGAAAATAATGCTCATCAACCTAGGTGTGCTAATTTTCAAACACAAATCTTTGTATTCATTTATTGTTTAGTGAAAATCAATACATTGGCAGGTGATTTCATTCATAGGTCACCTTTGGTTTACAATATAGCAAGTCAGTTCTCTATATTATGTTACTACCTTAATGGAATCAACACTTCAATCAAGAAAGTTGAAGTCAGGCCAGGGGCGGAGGCTCACACCTGTAATCCTAGCACTCTGGGAGGCCCAGGCAGGCAGATTGCTCAAGGTCAGGAGTTCGAAACTAGCCTGAGCAAGAGCGAGACCCCCGTCTCTACTATAAATAGAAAGAAATTAATTGGCCAACTAATATATATAGAAAAAATTAGCCAGGCATGGTGGTGCATGCCTGTAGTCCCAGCCACTCGGGAGGTTGAGGCAGTAGGATTGCTTGAGCTCAGGAGGTTGAGGTTGCTGTGAACTAGGCTGACACCTAGCCTGGGCAACAAAGTGAGACTCTGTCTCAAAAAAAACCCCAAAAAACAAAAAAGAAAGTTGAAGTCATACCCTAGGCTTGTAATTGTGTAGTACTAGGCTAGTACTCTAGTAATGATCTATGATCTTGTGAAAACACGCAAGAAGTTCCTTCCATTTGCTGTACCTTATCTTTTAAAAATGGATATACATTATTTTTATTAATAACTTTTTATACTTTGCATTAAATTATTTTAAGAAATAAACATATAAAAATGCAAACAATGTCACCTAAACATGAAAGGTAGTAAAATTTTATAAATCCTTTCCTATTTGAGTTTGATGATTACTATCAATATGTGATCTAAGCTCTAGTCTTTATCACATTTTGTGATTATCAGTAGCTTCTTAATTTTTTTTTTTGAGACAGAGTCTCACTCTGTTGCCTGGAGTAGAGTGTCGTGGCATCAGCCTAGCTCACTGCAGCCTCAAACTCCCGGGTTCAAACAATCCTCTGCTTCAGCCTCCCAAGTAGCTGGGACTACAGGTGTGTGCCACAAAGCCTAGCTAATTTTTCTATTTTTGGTAGAGACCTGGTTTCACTCTTGCTCAGGGTGGTCTCGAACTCCTGAGCTCAAGCGATCCTCCCGCCTTGGGATCCCAGAGTGCTAGGATTACAGGTGTGAGCCACTGCACTCGGCCACTTCTTAAAATTTAAAAAAAATTATTCTGTAGTATCTTCTCGGGTACTGAAAAATAACCAACAGAAGTATTTAAGTAGTTCAAAACTGATAACCTCCTTACTGACATACTGAAAATAGTAAACATGCATTTCTTTCTGAATGTAAGAGAATCATATGGTGATTTATTACTTCTGAAATGGAATGATGAGTAGTGGAAATCAAACTCCTGTCCAGTGTCAACTAATATGGCATTGGTGTATCATAGAAAGAACAAAGGCATTGAAAAAATGTTGATATTAATACATTTAAGGTATTTGTATGTAATAACACTGCCCTTTTCCTTCTACAGCAGTGGTTGTCAACCAGGGTAATTATCCCTCCACGGACAGGAGGGACAATTGCCACTTGGCAATATCTGGATACATTTTTTATTGACACATGTTGATTGTCACTGTTGGTGGTATCTAGTAGTAGGGGCCAGGAATGTTGCGAACATCCTACAATGCATAGGATGGTCCCCAAAATGAATATCTGAACCAAACTATCAATCATGTCAGGTTTGAGAACCTTATTCTATAGTCAATTGTATGGATTAAATAATCTCTAATCAAGATAACTAAATATTTAGAGACAACCTAGATAAAGTTCATATAAAATAGAAAGTGATGTCACTTCTCAAAATTCATTTGATTCAAACATTGTATATCCTTGAAATTCAAAGTCATTAAGTCTATGCTGGTTATCTATACACTAATTTCTAGACAAAGACTCAGATCTTTTGAAAATCTCACCAAGAAATCTGCCCCACAGCCATCAGCAGTCTCCATCTCTCTTGCTGATTGAGTAGTTTTTATTGGTGTTACGTACCTGAGAGGGCACAAAAGGAACATGTTTATATTCAGCCCATCTCTGCATCCTTGCATTCCCCATGTCCGCTTAGTTCATAGAGTGGACATGGGGTCCGTTTCTAGAGAGCACATGGGGACATCTGCTGGACAATTCTAATCACGTGGCAAACCTGGAAGGGGGCTCTTTTGATGGACATCAACATGTCCTACTTTAATGTACCCCTCAAATTTCCGTAAGGCCATGCCCCATATTAGCATCCATTTAACAGGCCAGGTTTCCATTGCCCTCCTTCCTGACCGTGTGGCCAGGTCATTGGCCACTGCCCAAAAGTCAGTAAAAACTGAAACATAAGGGTTTTTTACCACTGTTCAATTCTTCCATCACTGCTAAGAAAACAGCATGCAATTTAGCCCATGGAGCTGATCTATTTTTATCTTCTTTGACCAAACTGGCATCCTTCCTAATAGGATATTGTCTGTTCACCTTGGAATTGTCATCCACAACCCAAGCAGCTCTTTATCAGTTGGTTGAGAGCTTGTAGGGCACTGTCCAAGTGACAATAGAACCTAGTAGCTTTTCACGCAGTTCCAGACTCAGTCTTAGAGGAAAAGAAGTTCCCTGTTCATCTCTTTCTTGTATTCCCCAGGTAGCTGACTCGGTACGCACCATTTCCATTTCTTTATGGAACCCTCCTGGGCACTGGCGTTCCCCTCAGAGTGTTCCTCTGACTGCACCTGAGACATCATGGATATTTCAGGTTTCAAGATAATTTTATATCCTTCAATCATAGTGTTAGCTTCAACTGATGTCCCATAGCATGGTAGTAAATGCTCCTCAAGTGGAAATTCTCAGAGTCCCAGTAGTCATGGCAGGGAGGAACTCACAGGCTTTTGCCGTAATCTCTAGTTTACAATACATACAGGGCTATCAAACAGAGAATTTGTGCATACTACCACTCCATCTTCTACTCAACATTCTGTGTGGGACTGGGCAATCTTACTGATTCCCATTTAACATGTCTAATTAATGTATCTTGAAGGGCAGATTTGCATGCCTTCTGGTTTATGATACCAGGTAGGGGAAATATTCCCCAGTCAGGTACAATGTCCCTTCTGATAACACAATCAGGTGAAGGAGATGCAAATACTTCACATGAAGCAGTTCAAATATACCAACTCTCCTATAAACTTTTACCTTAATTCTATCGACCCTTACTTGCCTAACTGTAGCCCCATTAGGACTATATCTTCAGGTTTGGATTTTACAATATAAGATAGAGAAAGTCTTCCCTAGTTAGACATAATATCCATTCCCATAAAAGAGTTATAATCCTACGAACCCTTACTAATTTATGTTCAACCTGGCCCATCTTTTCGGTGAACTGGGTATCACTTTCCCTCTCAGGCACTACACTCCAGCCACCTCCTTGAACCTAAGAGCAGAAACAAGTTCTCACTTGTCCATTTTATTCCTTGACTACGTCAATCTTGTTCTTGCATTAGGCAGTTGCCTGTGGTTCCCTGTGCCTACAAGATGCTGTCCCAGTTTTTCACATCAGCTCCCTTCTCATCCTCAGGTTTCTGTTTGCTTGTCACCACCTCCCCAGAGGATTCCCATTCCTGCGTACTTGGTTTACCACACCAGCCAGGTGTGGTAGCCCATGCCTGTAGCCCCAGCTACCCAGGAGGCTGAGATCTGAGTATCGCTTGAACCAGGAGTTCAAATCTAGCCTGGGCAACATAGTTAGACTTTGTCTCAAAATACATATAAAAAATAATAATAATTTTAAAAAGTAGGCCTTTCCTCAGTCCCTGTTGCCCTTATATGACCTTGCACAGCCTGGAATTACCCTGTTTACTTGTTTGTGTTTATTATTGGTCTCCTCTTACTAGAATATCAACTATGTAAGGAGGGAGAAAAATGCAAATTGTGAGGGGAGTAACTGAAGAGTAAAAGTTCAGGAAGAACAAAAAGGGATGAGATAAAGACCTCAAAGAAAAAACATGATAGTGCTATTTATTCTTCAGAAACAAGAGCAAGAAAGGCAGAAGAGAGCAGAAATATCAGGGAGTCTGAGGTGGAATGCATTATGCAATCTGGTAAGTTCTTTTCCCATCAGCCTTTAATTACATGGTTAAATTGGCTGTGGGAATTGCAGCAAACTATTTGATTTTACCCTGCCAGCTGGCTCTGGAAGATATACTGTGTATATGGGATGGAGAAAATCCTTTTCCAGATTCTTTTCTCCTTGGCTCTATGAGGCTTAGCAAGGAGAATCACTGGCCCATGTCATGTACATAAAAAGTGCTTGGGGAGCTGTGAGGGTTTGTACAGACGTTGTCACGGTTATTTCCTTTGTGCATGATTTTAACAGCGTTATAGCTTGTCCTGAAGCACCAGAAAGGAACATCTGGGTAGATGAACATGATGCCCCCAAAGGGGCTTCAGCATTCTTCCTGAAAAACAGCGAGTTCAGGTTTACATTTGTTTTTTATCACAGGCTTTGAAATGACTAAGCGTTAAATTCACATAGCCCTGCTCTGAAACAGATTACAATAGTATTATTCTAACCTTATTTTCTGTTGAAAGGTGGAAATAAGATTTGCTCCAGACTAAACAGGAAGTCAGTAATAAAATTATAGCTACCAGTTAATCCAGGCTATCTGATTGTGCATACGTTACATATTTTATACACTACTCTAAGGATCCAGGTGACAACTGCGAAGAGCAGAATTGATGTTGTTGGTGTTCTTTTCAATTCTCAACCTCTCTCCTCACCCCCACCCAAAGCAGACAACTAAGGTATGCATGCATGGTGTGTGAAAGACAGGTGAAGAGAATATTAAATGTGAGTATTTATAATCTCCCACTTCCCAGTGTTTCGGATTACAGGTTGCCTTTGTGCTACTGGGCTTATTTAGGAGATGCTGGGCAATGTGTTATGGGAAAGGGGAGAAGTTGGCAGTAGGTGGGAGGCTGCAGGGTGCAAATGAATAAACACCATGTGCTGCCTGATTGCGAGGAGAGCAATGGTGAATGATGGTGATGATTTGGTAGCTACCAGAGACAGTGGAGACAATGATTTGTGGTAAGTAAAGCTAAAAGAGGCCCACAGGAACTTTTGTAAGAGCAACATTCTTTTTCTCCAAAACATTACAATTGGCACTATGCTCTTTTCCCCTTCTCTTTTACTTTCGTTTAAAAATGTGTCATTTTGAAATAGGCCTTGAGGTGAGGCAGAGTGGCTTGAGTTGGCCAAGGTACCTTCCAAAAAAGTCCACGTCCCATGAGTGTCAAGGAAGGGCTTGACTAAAGCACTGAAGGTTTGGCTTGTCCCATGATTAACTTTTTACTCCTGAGGATATAGATTAATTGGGAGCCAAAGAATTTTCACTAATTAGTAATGCCATGGCAAGCAAACAGTGGGTAGGGGTCATTGAAATGGTCGAGTACAAGGGTGCCGAGAGCATGCCCTTTTCTGCCTGCTCAGCTGTTTGGGTAGGGGACTGGCACTAACTAGTTCAGGTGCAACTCAGCCAGGCTCCCAAGGCAGCCCTCCTTGCCTACATCCCAACAGCTTGAGAAGGCTAGTTTCTAAAGAGAACAACACACAGATCCTCCCAATCCCCATTTTCGACAACAGTACCTTCCTTATTTTAAAAGACTCCTACGGTACTTTCTCCCATCTCTAACCACTCAGGGTACAAAGAAGAAAAATCAGATAAACACCAGTCCAGCTCAGATTACAGCTCATTAAATGCAATTACACACCAATTACGCCAGTCTCAAAAATAGACACAAAATATGAGGCAGAACACGTAAAAGTCTATGTACCTGTTTACATACACCTTAATACTAACCCTACCTTGTATATGTTTATTCTTGTCACCGATATATGTCCTTATTTTTCCAGACTCACACATTACTATCACTATGCTGCTTTTTATTTGTTGTAGAAAATGTCCTACAGTTGGAAGATGCTGGGTTTGAATCCTGTTTATCCCTTTATTATACAGCTTGTATGAAGGGCCACCATCTGAGGAGAGAGAGCAGATAGACTTGGAGGCTCAGTGGCCCCATAAAACCACCATCATTCCCACTGAGAATGGTGGATGTTCTAAATTGCTGGAAATATGTTTCCGACCTTTCCTTCAAACATGCTTTCACGTGAGTCATTTCAAGGCCTGCCCGATGGCGCCTCACATAAGCTGTGAATACTTAAAACAAGTCGGTCTTATATTACGAATCTACTTTGTGTCAAGCACTGTTCAAGTTCGGAGGGAGAAACGCAAAAAAAATCAGACTCCGAAATAACTTAACATTTTTTGGGGGCCACAAGCTTTCCAAGTGGAGCGCAAAGCAAGCCAGCGTCTTGCGGTGGGCGGTGGGGCTCTCGAGGCCCGCGCGGCGGCCAGCTTCCGGCGACCGCAGCAGCCGCGGAGCGCCAAACCCCAGCAACCCCCGCCACGCCCCCACGGCCGTGCACCCGCGCATGCGCACAGCGCCCGGCGCAGGGGTTGGGGTGGGCGAGCCCCGGCTGCCATCTTGCAGCGCGCGGGAACTTCCGCCGCCGCCGCCACCACCGTCGGCGAAAAAGCCGGGCGAAGCGAAAGCGTGTCCTGCTCAGACCACCTTCCTTTTCCATTTGCCAACTTGCCAAGCAGCCTGGCTGCCCAGCCCCAACTCAGGCCAATGAACTAACCTATCGCCCGCTGCCCTACTGTCAGCCGTGACTCGTCCCGGTGCCCAGCCCCGCGAAACGGAGCGTCCGGACACCCAGCCTCCCCGCCGGCCGCGATGCCGAACACGCCGCTGCCGCCCAAGGAGAGCAACCTTTTCAAACGCATCCTGGTGAGTGGCCGTAGGCCGCGCCGCCGACCCCCGGACCCCTCAAGCGCCGACCCCTGGCCTGGAGGGCGAGCGGTCAGGTGGCGGCGCCTCCGCGGGCTGGGCTCGGCCTCCGCTGCGCTCCGCTCTTTGTTTACCTCCGAGCCTTGGGGACCCGACCTCCCCGTCCCGGCCTGTGGGCTCCGGCCGCTCCTCCGCGCGCTCCCTTTCCTCCGCAGCGCCCCGCCTCGCCCCGCAGTGCTCTTTCCAGAAACTTCACGCCGCCGCCCTCCGCAGTCCCCGGGAAGCTCGCAACCTTCCTGCCCGGGTCCTCCTCAGTTTGCTTCTCCTGTCAGTCTCCCCTCGGTGAGGTGTTCCTTCGCTGCTCTCCGTTTAGTAGATTGCACAGCACTCCCTAATCAATACCTGTGAAAGCAGGGTCGGCCCGATAGTGGGCTGGGGCCCTGATCTATACTGGCTACGGGAAAATAAAACCGGCGTCCGGAGGAAGCCGAGCCTGGCACTGCCTCCCTTTGGGAAAGAGTTTACTTGTTTGTGATGGACCGTGTTTACCCACTTTGGAATTGAACGGATGAATAGGTGACTTGAGCTGTGTTTCTAAGTTGTCACAAACTCCAACACAGCTCTTTTTGCCTTTAACTCGCTCAGGCCTTGCCTTCAGTGATCAAAGCCGCGCGGACTAGGTGGTTTTGCACCGGAGAGAGGAGCATTTGTTTTATTTCCGAACAGAAAACTGAACCGTGGCCAGGTGATGATGACCGCTGCCTAGCCGAGAGGGCAGTTTTCTGTAGTGCGTGCCAGGGCCCCTGGAGTCTACGGTTTTCCTGGAAGAAGAGGCAGCTTGCCTTTGCTTTTCTCAATATACACTCGGGACCGTAGATGTTAAACTTATATTGTTAATAGGTAGCTGCCTTTTCTAGGTTTCTCTTTTCATCTGAAAACAAGAATTTATTTGCTAAACAAGCGTTTAGATTTTAAGGGTGACTTTATTGAGAGCTTGTGTTGGCTATATCGCTATTAGCTATTGCTTAACTTTCCTATAAATAAAACGCTAATTTTAGAAGAGTTTCAAGTATTGTAACATCAATGGCAGATAAAATTCATAGTAGCTGTTCTGTTTTGAGCCAATAGAAAGTTCATAGTTAGTTTTAGAATGTTAAGAAAGATACACAGTAAAGGGATGAAAATTTTAAATCTTCATTTTATACAGTGCTTAGTGTTGAGCAAATAATGAGAGACAAGTGTAAAAACATAGAACCTAGAATAATTAAAGCATGTGGCTGATTGCTTCATTTGGCTTCATGTATTTTTTCTTATTTTACTTTCGTTTTTTTCCTACCCTTCTATTTTACATAGTATGGAATTGGAGAAGTGAACTTTTTCCTCCTTTTAAGGTTTTTTGTTTATCTGTGGAATCTGGAAGGTTAATGAAAAAATCATCTATAAATTATTAGTTGGATTTCAGGACATTTGGCGTTGTACCTAAATTATGACAGCACTTCTTTTCTCTATGGCTATTTTCTAGTTCAAATTGTGTATCAGTAGCATAAAGAAAAATAGTTATATGATTTATTATTCTCAAACTACAAAAGAGTTAAAGTTGCTGCTGAGTTAACTTTGTCCTCAGATAAATTGGAAAATGCTAGACATTTTCTTATCTGGGCATGTAATGTTTATTTTAAAGATTGCATGAGTTTAGGAGGGTGCTGCAAAAATGAATGATTTTTATCCTCTCACATTTGCGATATATGTGGGCAAAGTTTTGCTACAGCAAATTCCATGGCAAACAGAAGTCTCTATAATAAAACTATTTTTTAAGTTTGGTTGGTGGATCAAAGTGCTTCGCCACCAACAGTGTTTTTTTTTTTTATGCATTATCAATGTACTTAAACACATCCACACAAAGACACTAGCTAGTTTTTTCTTTCTTTTTTATTTAACATACTCTGCTCGGTTTATATCTGCCTGTCTTATTCCTCAGACTGGCTAGTAGCCTTACAGTTTGTTGAGCTTTGGAGCTATTCCATGCACTCTTCACAGAGACACAAATCAAACCCAGTAATGGTAAATGAGTAAGTGTCTAAGGTTCTCTGTCCAGTTAGTAGCAAAGTTGAGACTAGAATCTATCTTTTCTATAATGGTTCCTTACTGAACCTTAGGCTTATCTTTACCTGAGTACTTGAACTCTGGAGCCAGACTTCCTGGGTAAGAATTGTGGCTCTGACACTTACTAGCTTTGTAAACTCAGTAACTGTGTCTCAGTTTCTTCATCTAAAATGGAGGTAACGTGCATTTCATAGGCTTTCTTGGGATTTAAATAAACACTAAGTGAGAGAAGTGCCTGAGACATAGTAAGTGCTTCCAATAGGTGTTAACTATTATTATCATCATTATTATTACTGCTATTAGCAGTTTGGTTATTATTACTTTTAAACTACTTGGTAAGTCAGAAAAAAAAAATAAGTCATCCCTTGGTAGAAGCAGGGGGATAGGTTCCAGTACCAACCCCTCACACCCAAATCTGCCCATACTTAATTCCCAAAGTGTATACACTGGTTTTGCATCCTGCAAATACTATATTTTTGACCTTGTTTGGTTGAAAACATCTATGAGTGGACCCTATGCAGTTCAAACCTGTGCTATTCAAGGGTCAACTATATTTTTCTTTTGCTCTTTTTCAGTAGTTCCTTCTGCTTGTTTTTTCTTTGTCATTTGTCAGGTGAACTGTCTATATTCAAACTCAGATTGTTATTTTTATATTTTAAAATATTTTTGAAAGAGGCAGTGTATTCACATGGTTTAAAATATAGGTTTCTCTCCTATCCTTGTCTTACGGCTACCTACCTCCCAACTCCAGAAGCAATCAAGAAACCTCATTTTAAACATATTTTGTGTTTGTGTGAAGACTTTTCTAATTCTGCCCTCCACATCCAGCCCCTGTTGCAAGGCTTGATCTTGTTCTCACCCATTGCTGGTGCCACTTTGCTTTCAACTTACTAGGCTATATTTATGGAGCAGCTCCTGTTTATGTAGGCTATGGGAATGCAGCAGTGATTAAACTAGGTGGGAGCCAGGAATAGTAGCTCATGCCTGTAGTTCCAGTTGTCCTGGAGCCTGAGGCAGGAGGATCACTTGAAGCCAGAAGTTCAAGAGCAACCTGGGCAACATTGAGAAACCATGTCTGGAAAAAAACAAAAATAAGAAATAAAAAAATATTAGCCTGCTATGGTGACACACGCCTGTGGTCCCAGCTCCTCAGTGGGTTGCTGATGTGGGAGTATCGCCTGAGCCCAGGAGTTCAAGGCTACAGTGAGCTGTGATTGTACCACTGCACTCTAGCCTGGGTGGCAGAGTAAGACCCCACTCTAATAAATAAATAATAGATGAGATCCATGTTCTCATGGAGTTTACATGGTGGTGGGGAAGATAGACACTAAGTAATCAAGTAAATCAGATTTTAGGGAAGCGCTGTAGAAAATAAAATAGAGTAATATGATAGAGAATATGTATGTGGGAGGAAGAGGTAGGAGTCTGGCAGTATTTGATAGAGACTTGGATAATGAGGAATACAGCCATGAGTAAATCTGGGGAGGAGCTTTTCAGGTGGAAGGAACACAAGTGTAGAGGCCTGAGCGGGGATAAAGCTTGGCATGTTAGGCAATAGAATACCCAGTCTGACTGAACAGTGTAAGTGAGGGGAGAATGGAAAGAGATGAGTTCTCAGGTCAGTGGCTGCTGAGAAAGAAGAGTGTTCATTGCTTAGCCTGGCTGCTGGCATTTAGGAATAAAGATACTGCTTATCCTTGTATTTAGGCTAATGATCATGGTGGTCTTTGGAGTCAGACCAGAGGTTTGCAACTAAGCTGAGATATAGTTTTTTTTGGTTTTTCTTAAGAGTCATAGTCGTACTCTGTCATCCAGGCTGGAGCGCAGTGACAACGTTATAGCTCACTGCAACTTCCAACTCCTGGGCTCATGGGATCTTCCCACAACCCCCTCTCGAGTAACTGGGACTAGAGGTGTGCACCACCATGTGCAGGTAATTTTTAAATTTCATAGAGACAGAGTCTCTTTGTGTTGCCCCGGCTGGTCTCAAACTCCTGGCCTCAAGCAGCCCTCCCACCTCTGCCTCCCAAAGTGCTGGGATTGATTACACGTATGAGCCACCAAGCCTAACCCTAAACAAATTTTTTGAACTCATTAGTTTCAGTTTCTACATCTGCGGAAGTGGAGGTAATGACACCTATCTTAAGGAATTGTTAAAAGAAGTAAGATATAAGTTTTGTGCAAACCAATAGTGGTTGCTCAATAAGTGGCAGTGTTTTTTGATGTGTGTGTACATCATGCACCTTATTTTCATTCTTGTCATAGCAAAGGCTTTTAGTGAATGAAGTTTCTAGTATTTTTCTGTTATCACATGTTTTTGCTTTTGAATTAAAAAAATTTTGTGGCAGTATTAGTTGACAGTTAAATATCATTTTTCTTTATCTTCTATAAAAGTGAAAATACTGAGATTCTAGATGATTTGGGGCTGGAAGTGGTGGCTCACACCTGTAATCCTAGCACTCTGGGAGGCTGAGGTGCGAGGAGCCCTTGAGCTCAGGAGTTGGAGACCAGCCTGAACAAGAGTGAGACCTGGTCTCTCCTAAAAATAGAAAAATTAGCTGGGCATCGTGTAGGCCTGAAGTCCCAGCTACTCAGAGGCTGAGGCAGTAGGATAGCTTGAACCCAGTGCCATGGCACTCTCCTCAGGGCAACAGTGTGAGACTCTGCCTCAAAAATAAATAAATAAATAAAAATAAAAATCATTTGGCAAGAGTAGGTAAAAGTACCCTTCATGTTGTAAGTGATATGAATCCTTTCCATTGTGTGTGTTTTAGACCTAATTTTGGATCTTGAATTTAGAATATATGATGCAATGAAAAGTTGCTCCATTGTATATTCATTTTAACTTTTGTCCATATTTCTTTACAGAAATGTTACGAACAGAAGCAGTACAAAAATGGCCTCAAGTTTTGCAAGATGATTCTTTCAAACCCCAAATTTGCTGAACATGGAGGTATTGTCTCATCTGTGAGAGATTGCTTTAGGGAAATCTTAATTCCAAAATCAGACTGATAGGATTTTTAACAGTGAAAGAAGACTACTCATATTCCAAGGCCTTGCAGCTCTATTAAAGTACATAAAATTCAACATTTTTAGTTATACTTTATGTGAGTCTTATTTTAGATTACTTTTATTATCCTTAGGTTTATGTACTGTGTCTTTACTTTTAGATGAGAAGTGGTTGGTTGGTCTTTTGGGGAAAAATTGGACAAGGTATATACCAGTACTTTTATAGACCTCATTTCCTCTATTACTTTGAAAAGAAATTTACATTTATACCTTAGTTTCCTGTGTATAAAATTAGGACAATATTTGCAACACAAAAGTATTACAAAGATATAGTCATATGAATTTTATTCTTTGGTTGATGTGTTTTTTATATATTTGACCTTTATATATAAATATGATATTACTGATGTTATCATTAGATTGTGTATGTTGAGTGATTTTTCTAGTACTGATGGTGTTAATAAGGTCTGTATTTTCTTCTGTCCTTTTGCATTGATAGCCAGGTTTTGTTAGAGGGATGTGTCATGTTAGACATGCAAACTATAGTATTATAGCATAAGCAAAGCTAGTTGAGGTCACTTATTATCAGACTTGGGTAACTCTTGAGACCATCCTGTTGGAAAAATAGGCTGACCCTACTCACCTTTCTAATAATGTTTAAGAGATTCTTTGAAGGAAATGGACAGAAGCTTTCATTTCATAGAATTTTAAAAATTTAAAGCTTAGGGCATGGCATGGTGGCTTGCCCCTGTGGTCCAAGCTGCTCAGGAGGTTAAGGTGGTAGGGATCGCTTGAGGTCAGGAGTTCATGACCAGCCTGGACAACATACCAAGACCCTATCTCCTTAAAAAAAAAAAAAAAAAAAAAAAAATTTAAAGTTTGGTTTCATGCTTTGTAGCTGTGGAACCCTTATCCAAATAGAGGCTGTGGGGAAGTTCAATATGTAAAACAGATAAAAGATGGGGGTGGAGGGGCTTTGATCTCCATGTTCTGAAAACCATGGAGTCCACAGAAATCATTTTGAAAACCATTGTTCTTGTCTGATTCCCCTGTTGTGGATCATTCTGAGAATTATTTCATTCTAAACCATCTTTCATTAACTCCCTAACATACTTTTGGTTTGCCACTCCCATTGTCCAGTGTTGGGTTCTTGACATGCAAGCTGATGTTTAATTAGCCCAAGTAGAATTATTTGGAGTAAACTTGCTGCTAAAAATGAAGTCTGTTCTGATACTGAATAAGATGATTTTTAAATAATGTGTAACTCTTTGTTTAGGTAGATTGTTTTCATGGGGTATAAAAATCAGATTGATTAGAATTGATCTTAGGTGAAGTTGTGAGGCTGAGTGTGGTGGCTCATGCCTATAATCCTAGCGCTCTGGGAGGCTGAGACGGGAGGATCATTTGAGGTCAGGAGTTTGAGACCAACCTGAGCAAGAGTGAGACCCTGTCTCTACAAAAATAGAAAAAATTAGCTGTGCGTGGTGGCACATGCCTGTAATCCCAGCTACTCAGGAGGCTGAGGCAAGAAGATCCTTTGAACCCAGGAGTTTGAAGTTGCTGTGAGCTAGAGTGACATCATGGCACTCTAGACTCTGTCTCAAAAAAAAAAAAGAGAAAGGAAAGCTGTGGCGCTGCTCTAGTAGATTTAATTCAATAGGACTCAGATGCCCGTTTTGTTAATTTTTTTCAGCGGAATAATATTAACCCCCTTTATAGAGTCCCCTTAATAAAATTAACCCCCCTTTATATTGTACTTATGAAGTACAATAACCATTTTAGCTACTCAGTCAGCCTAAGGAATTTCAGAAAAAGACGTGGTCTGACAAGCTTCAAGCAAATACTTCAATGTAGTTGTACTTTTTGTACTTGGAGAGCAGTTCTAATTATGAGATTAAAAAGATGAATAATATAAGCATTGGAGCAGAAGTAATCCTTCATATCTCAAATACTAAAGTAGTGCTGAGCGAGTAATTTGAATCTTTCATGTGTAAATAGATCTTAAAATTATTTTTCAGAGACTTTGGCTATGAAAGGATTAACCCTGAACTGTTTAGGAAAAAAAGAAGAAGCATATGAATTTGTTCGTAAAGGACTTCGTAATGATGTCAAGAGTCATGTCTGTATCCTTTTCCAGTAGTTTGTTTAATTTGATATATGTTTTCATTTACTAATTTTTTTCTAATTCAAGTTAAAAGTGTTTTACTATGAACAATTTCAAACCTACACAGAAGAGAGAATTTAATGAACTCTGTGTACTCATTATTCAGCTTCAGTAGTTATCAACGTTTTGTAATATTAGTTTCATCTATTCTGTACCAGTGTTTGTTTGTTTATTGGAGTACAGAAAATCTCTATAAAAATATGTGTATGTGTTTATTTCAGTTGTGCTTAGTGTTAGAGAAAAGTTACTTTTGATAATTATATGTGACTTGAAATTTTTAAACATTCATGAACTGAGGTATACTTTCCTATTCCAAATAATGTTTAGCTAATTATATAGTAAAATCTGTGTGCCTTGCACCTTTTAGAAATTTTAAAAGAAAAATTTAAAAGACACTTATTTCAAAACAGGTTTTATTTATTATTAAGTGTGATATTGGTTCTTCAGCTTGGTTTCTGTTAACACAGGGACATAGTTATTACTTTGTTGGATCTTTATAATTGTATTTTTCTTTGGCTAGTCTTCCAGTTTGTACAAAACCAGCAATACTTTTTAAGGATGGATCATTGAAATTGACTTTGATTTGTTTTGTCTATCTGTATATTTATCCACAATCTCTTCACATACTGGCCTTGCATCTTAATTTGTTAAATTTAATTCACTTAGCCATTTCAACACTTGTGTTGAACTTAAATAGGCTTAGTAGTGTTTTTACATATTTAGCTTAGGATTCTCTCAGAATACTAAATACTTATTTCTTTATCCTGGTGCTTACCCCAGAGTGAAGAGAGAGGGCATGTAAGTATGATAGTTTTTTATTTTTATTTTTGGCTCCAGGATATACTAGGACTTTAATTTACAATAAATAAAATTTAATTTTTGTGTACTTTAATATCACTAGTGAATTAAGTCATGGCTTTATGTTATTTTAGAATTGGTTGAATATAAACTTGTTTTGAAAGATAATTGCAAATTTTGTATATATTGTTTCAATACATCATGAATACTAGGTGAATGTTGAAGTTGCTGGGGTAGGGATGTGAGAGGGTAGAGGGTAGAAAATGTGAAGAATTTTGGGCAAGAATTTTTTAAGGTTCCTTAAAAAATACTAAAGAATATTTCAAATGTGTACCCAAGTAGAGAGAACAGAATAATGAACCCCCATTTGTCTGTCCATCATCCATCTGTAACAATTCTAACAATTGTCAGTCAAGGCTGATCTAGTTTCATCTTTACCCCATACTGTCCCTCCTCCCTAATCATTCTGAAACAAAACCCAGACAAGATACCATTTCATAAAGGTAGGCTTTATATTAGACATGTAGCATAGTATATTCTAGTGTCTGTGAATGTCTCTATTTCCTTAACTTAATAGGTTGGCATGTATATGGACTCTTGCAGCGTTCTGATAAGAAATATGATGAAGCTATTAAGTGTTACCGAAATGCCCTCAAATTAGATAAAGATAATCTACAGATTTTGAGGGATCTCTCTCTGTTGCAGATCCAAATGAGAGATCTTGAAGGTTACCGAGTAAGTATATCAGTCTTAAATGCATGTATTTTTACAATAGATTTAAGTATGTGAATTCAGAATGAGGCGAGCTGAGACAAGCTCTTGTAGATTTGATTGTTCCATATAGTCTGTACTAGAAGGGGAAAGTCACTGGGACATTCTCCCTCAGTATTTATGGAACTTCCTACTTGAGCACAAAAAAGAATAATTGTTTATTCAACCAGAATATCTATGTGCAAATGCTGTACTGTAAGATTCTTTGTGAGTTTGACATTTACAAATTTGGTAAAGTAATAAGAGCTTTTATAATTGAAATCTAGACATAAAGATAAATTAGCTTTTTAAATTATTGGTTAGTAAATATAAAAAAATGTCAGTGGGATTGCCATAAATCAGTCTTTCTGTAGTTCAGACCTCTTCAGACTTATATCTTCAACTCTTTGCCGGGCATCTCCATGTGTTCATTCTACTTAGTATGTTGGAATCAGTGTGCTGAGAATAGAATATTCTATTATGTGAAGGAGGCCACCAAGTCTTAACTTCTCTTTAAATACATTCTTCATATATTCTTATTTTTGCCTTGTACTGTCAGATAAGGCCTTTATGCTATGCCTAGAATTTTGCAGCAGTTTCAGGGGCTCTGCTGAACTTGATAATGGCTCCATTCTTCAAGGTGTGTGGTTTTTTTCTTTAGCTGTGCTTAGGAGCCAGAGTGTGGTGGGAATTAAAATCAATTGTCTTTAGGAATAAGACATAGAAATTAACACTGTTGGTAGAACAGTGGTTGCTAAACTGGATTGCAAAATAAATGAAGTTAAAAGAGAGCTGGGTGTGGTCTTGCGCCTGTAGTCTAGGTTATGTGGGGAGGCTGAGGAGAGACGATTGCTTGAGCCTAAGTGTTCAGGCCAGCTTGGGCAAAACAGTGAGACTATCTTAAAAAAAAAATGCTGGTGGTAAAACTGTAAAAGACCCAGAGAACTAGAGGTACTGGGGTGTCAAAGAACAAGAATAGGAATATCAGCAAGTGAGGGTGTTGGCAGCACAGGACCTGTGCGTAGAGAGTTAGATATCTGGATTTATGATTTCTGGGTGGCAGTAAATTGTAGGGTGTGGTTGTAGAAATGAGTCTCTGAATTGGGTCGAGGAGAAGATTGTTAAAGATGAGGAGATCTTGGGACTTAGAAGATAAGTTGTTGGATGGGTGACTCACATTAGAGTTACATTTCCCCAGGATAATGGCAGGATTTGGCAGAGAGAAAACTGACCTGGACTTTAATGGAATATTGGGAGTAATGGAGAAACAAGAGTGAAAATCGGGGATGGTCAGATATTTGTTCCTCTTGGCTGCGTCCTTCCTGTGTCTGGGGCCAATTCTAACAATGTAATATGTTGTATATTATATATATATATGTTTTTTTTTAGGAGACAAGATACCAGCTTCTTCAGTTGCGACCAACGCAACGTGCTTCCTGGATCGGATATGCTATTGCATACCATTTGTTGAAAGATTATGATATGGCCCTAAAACTATTGGAAGAATTTAGACAAACTCAGCAAGTAAGAATTTCATTTCAACACTTTTTTTCTATATTCACAAACTGAAATAGTTGGCTTCTAAATTGCTCTTGCCCCCAAATATGAATTAAAGTCTTTGAAACCTACGGGAAAGCTTGAAAAAATTTATGAAATAGTTGGAAGAAGTTAAAATGTATTAGGTTATTAAGTATGAAATGTCTAATTTCCTTAAGTATTAAGTTTGACAGTTAATATCTCTGACATTTCACCCTGACACTTCTTGTTTTATTTTTATTGTGAAGGTACATCCTCAGGTCTTGCAAATGCATGTTTTGGGCTTGTGATTATCTTTTAAATTTTTTTTTTTTTTTTGGAGACAGAGTCTCACTTTGTTGCCCAGGCTAGAGTGAGTGCCGTGGCGTCCTAGCTCACAGCAATCTCAATCTCCTGGGCTCAAGCGCTCCGACTGCCTCAGCCTCCCAAGTAGCTGGGACTACAGGCATGTGCCACCATGCCCAGCTATTTTCTATATATATTAGTTGGCCAATTAATTTCTTTCTATTTTTAGTAGAGACAGGGTCTCGCTCAGGCTGGTTTTGAACTCCCGACCTCGAGCAATCTGCCCGCCTTGGCCTCCCAGAGTGCTAGGATTACAGGCACCGCACCGGCCTCATCTTTTAAATTTTTTTAAGAGCGTTTTGTGGAATCATGGATAAGTTGAAAATTCTTGTTATTTTCTTCTGTTTGGAACACTTATTGGTTTGATTGTACCTTCCTAGATTGTTCCTTTTTCCTCTTTGGTCGATATTTGTCTTTTTGTTCTATTTTCTACATTTCTTTGATTTTCTTTTTGTTTTTAAATTTTATTTGAAAACATCATATGTTAAAATTGACCCTTTTTTGGTGTGTAGATCTATGAATTTTAGCACATGTGTAGGTTCATATAACCACCACCACCACAGGCAAGAATGAGTTGCTTTTAATCCTTTCTCTAAAATTTTTCTCTGCAGTTATGTTTCTAATTTTAAAGTACCTCTTTTTTTAATCATTTTTTTTCTTTTTGTCTTTTTTCCCCCCTTAGCATCTAGTTCTTGGGGGTTATCTACTGTTTCTGGAGAGGAGCTCTCCAGTTTTTAGATGGGATGAGTTCCTGGCTACAGGGTATTTATTCAACATGTGGATTTGGCTGCGGAGTTGATAGAGATGATGTGGGGTTGGTCACATACTAACTTTCAGTTAATCTTCCAACCTTGAGCCCATGTCTCATTCCTACTCCCTCTGTTTATCAGTCGTTTCATAATCTTGATCCTGTCTGGGCTTGGGGTTCATCCATCTTACTTCACTTATTCTTCATTTACATTCCATCTTCCAGAAATGTATTGGAATCCTATATGGTATGTTCTGTTTATTTTTATGGGTTTTTATATTGTTTCATCTGCTCTTATTTTTGTTTATTCTCATAAGGGAGGAAATAAACTATGGTAAGGCTGCCATCTTTACTGAGATTCTTAGCTTTTTACCTCAAATTAGAGAATTTTTTTTCCCTTGAGTTGAAGCAACCAATCTTTTTTTTTTTTTTTTTTTTTGAGACAGAGTCTCACTTTGTTGCCCAGGCTAGAGTGAGTGCCGTGGCGTCAGCCTGGCTCACAGCAACCTCGATCTCGGGCTCAGTGATCTACTGCCTCAGCCTCCCGAGTAGCTGGACTACAGGCATGCACCACCATGCCCGGCTAATTTTTTGTATATATATTTTTAGTTGGTCAATTAATTTATTTCTATTTTTGGTAGAGACGGGGTCTCGCTCAGGCTGGTTTCGAACTCCTGACCTTGAGCAATCCGCCCGCCTCGGCCTCCCAAAGTGCTAGGATTACAGGCGTGAGCCACCACGCCCGGCCCGAAGCAACCAGTCTTAATCAATAAAATTCTTTCTTAGACTAGCTCTTTGTCTTTATCCAAGAATCAAGTCCTAGCCAAAAGAAAGTACTATATCTCATTTGGTGGGCTTAACAAGAAACTTTCCTTTTAAACACAAAGTTATCACATTTTGATGGTTAAATTTAGGTGTTTTGGAATTTTCTACTTTTTTTTTAAGAGAGAGAGTTTTGCTGTTGCTCAGGCTGGAACTCAGTGGCTATTTACAGGTATAATCATAGTGCATTACAACCTGGAATTTTGGGGCTCAAGTGATCCTCCTGCCTCAGCCTCGGAGTAGCTGGGACTTCAGGCATGTGCTACTGTGTCCTATAACATTGGTTTTTTTTTTAGACATAATGCTATTCTATGCTTAATAGACCACAGTATAATGTAAACATAACTTTTATATGCACTGGGAAACCAAAAAAATTTTGTGTGACTTGCTTTATTGCAGTGGTCTGGAACCAAACCCTCAGTATCTATGAGTTATGCCTGTAATTAATTTTTTGTTTATTGATCTTTTATTTGGTGACCTTGCTAAACTACTTTATTAATTCTGGTAGTTTTTTGTTAGATTCCTTAGGATTGCAACCATTTTTAAACTTAGATGTAGGATTTGCTGACCTATTCACTTGGCTATAGACAGAAATGCAGTCCTTTAATGTGTTTTAAAGAGTGTTTTAATTTTTGGTGCAGTTAATTGCTCTTCTGTTAGTATCTACGTATGGGTTGCTTTCTTGTCCATGTAAATGATTCTCCCAAGAAGGGAATTTAATTAAAGATTTGTAATTGCTTTATGTAACTATACAAATAAGGTAATTTGGTCATTTTTTTCAGATTCCTACCAACAAAATAGACTATGAATATAGTGAACTGATATTATACCAGAATCAAGTGATGAGAGAGGCAGATCTATTTCAGGAATCTTTGGAACATATAGAAACATATGAGAAACAAATATGTGATAAACTTTTGATAGAAGAAATTAAAGGTAAGTTGATTTGCTTTTTCTTTTTTAATGGCCTCAATTAAAAATTATAGATTTTATTCTGTCCTAACACTTAAGTAATACTTGCCATGTATCAGGCAAGGTTCTAAGCACTTTATTATTAAACCATTATTAATTAATTTAATCCTCATAACAGTCCTATGATTTAACTGTATTCATTTTAGAGATGAGGGAAACTGAGGAACTGAGGGGTTAAGTGATTTGTCCAAGATCACACAGCTTTGTAAGCTAAGCAGTGCTAGATTTGATTCCAGATTTCATTCCCTTTAAGCAGCATCATATACTGCCTTTATATCAACTATTTATCTCTGTATGTGCATATATAGGTTAAAGACAGTGGAAACAGTAATTAATGATATTGAGATCATCATGAAAGCAAGAGTCATTTCTTTTCAGTATGGGCTGATTATGAAGGCAAGATCCTATGAATAGTTTTAACTGTTCATCAACAAAGGGTGAAACAAAATTTTTCACAAAGCTTCAACATCAGTTACCCTTTCCCTAAGTAATACTGTATTAAATTGAATGTCCAGCTAAAATAATAGTTTATGGACTAAAGTTTCATGTAGTTGCAGGACCTCCAAAGCTTAATAAAAATAATAGCTAACTTTTTTTTATACTCTTCTGTTTCAGAGTATGGTAATTGCTTAAACTGCTCTATTTCATTTAATTTTTTAGCACTTTTAAGATGGGTACTGTTTATTATCCCCATCTTATAGTTGAGGAGACAGAGGCTTAGAGTGTTTAAGGCCTTGTGAAAAACTCAGCTTTTTAAGAGTTAGTTTTTAAAAACATCAACACATCTTTCTGACTTCAGAGGCTTTACTTTTTTTTTTATAGTCTTTATTTTTCAGAACAGTTTTAGTTTCACAGCAAAATTGAGCAGAAGGTACAGAGAGTTCCCATACATCCCTGTCTCTGTCCACCCACAGCCTCTCCCATTGTCACATTCTGTGGGGTGTGACAAATGTATAATGATGTGTATCCACCATTATAGTATCATACAGAGTAGTTTCACTGCCCTAAAAATCCTCTGTGTTCATTCCTCCCTCTTCCCAACCCCTGGCAACCACTGATCTTTTTATTGTCTCCATAGTTTTTGCCATTTTAAAAATGTCATGTAGTTGGAATGACACAGTATGTGGCTTTTTCAGATTGGCTGCTTTTGCTTAGTAATATGCATTTAAGTTTCTCCATGTCTTTTCATGAGCTCCTTACTTTTAACCACTATACTTTCTTGTTAATGTATAGCATGGGACTGATTTAGTTTTTATTATGATTAATATTAATACCAATATTGATGATAATACTTTTGCAAGCTATTGTTAAAATGTGGGTAAATAATTAAGTATTCTTATCTCTTTCTTGTTCTACTACCTGCAGTTGATGGGAGCAAAAAAAAAGGCAATTATTTTTCCTTTCCTTTCTGATATAGTATAGCTATTTCCTGATAAAATCTTAACCCTCTCAGTTTGTTGTTTCTCTTTCTCTGTAGTTGTCCTGTAGTATCAGTAGGAAATGGAGTTATTAGAAAGTAAATATAATATTGTGAAATCATTTCTAGTTAAAAAATTCTACAAATTGCCTCACATTGTTAGGGTAATTTGGGGGCCATTAATTTGAATATATAGCCAGTGTTCTGTATTGCCTACAGAGATAGCGTATGGTATTACTTTTTTCTGGTGAACTTTGTACGCCCAGAGACCTTTGATAGTTAACACATTTATTTCTTTTGTCATTAACTTTTTTTTTTTATGGAGACAGGGTCTCTGTCTGTCGTCTGGGCTAGAGTGCGTCAGCCTAACTTACAGCAACCTCAAACTCTTGAGCTGAAGTGATCCTTCTGCCTCCTGCCACAGCCTCCCAAGTAGCTGTGACTACAGGCACCACCATGCCTGCTGATTTTTTCTATTTTTAGTAGAGGCAAGGTCTCGCTCTTGCTTAGGCTGGTCTCAAAGTCAAGTGATCCTTCTGCCTTGGCCTGCCAGAGTGTTAGGATTAAAGGCGTGAGCCACTGTGCCTGGCCTTGTAGTCATTAACTTATTAACGACTTTTTTTTAAAGCTTGTAAAAATAAAATTAGAGATTTTTACTTTTTTTATGAATACGCAGATATACTTATTTGTTCTGTGCATTCCTCTAGTAATAACCTTTGTTTCATGGTAGTAGCAGATAACAGTTGTTATTTGTTGTTAGCAGTTGTTTTTGGAAATGAAAAATATGCTGTTGTCTATTATATTTGAGATAAGCAGGGTAAAAATTGGACTGGCCTGAAAATAATTGTGGAGGAATGGGGCATGTTTATAGTTTTAAATAGCAGGCTTTTATGTGTATTCATTTTGTACCAGGCAGTGTGCTAATCACTTGCTCAGTGTCATAAAGCTAATTAGTAGTGGAGTTGGTAATTAATTACACTTAGTTCAGTCTTATGCTAGAGATTGAGTGATATATAATAAATACATAGGAAAATAATAGTATATAGAACCACTATAATATACTGCCTCCTCCAACATGATGGAAGCTGAAATAGTATGACTGAAGATATTTCAAAGGGTTATTTGTTTGAAATAGATTCTTTGGGGAATGGGAAATCTTGGGGACAGAAAGTTGAGGTATGTTCTTTTTTGAGAATTGCCCTTTTATCTTGGATTAGGTGTGTTTTGCATTATATCTGAGAGGTGTAGGTCCTCAGTCTCCACACTCACTTTCGATTTGTGTGGCTTAGTATAATAAAAGGATTTATATGTGAGAGGTGACCCATACATGAATGTGGCTTTTGTGGCTTCCTGCTATGAAGTGGTGTTTAGTGTTATAATTTTACTGAGTTAAACTTCTCCAATTTAGTGACCTCTAAAGGAAACTAAGAGAATTGAGTGGAGAATTGTTTAATATGTCAACTTATCAGGAAAGGGACATTCAAATCTTGCAGTAGGAAAGTAGGAATATTTCATTAGACTTATTTATCAGTCTAATTTTGCTGTGTGTATGTGGTGGGGGGTGGTCTTTAGGTATCTCAATATAAAAATGTGTGTGATGCAAAGGTTTTTTTTTTTAACTAACAAATTAACATGCTACATGTGTATTTGGGGTGTGAGAGGGAGCCAAAAATGAAAGTGCACAAATGGATGTTCATTTCTGAAGGCAAGCAGTGAATTAATCTGTGCTTAGTTATATAAATTGCAACCTGTTCCATGGGGAAGCACATACAGTTTTTTCTTTTATAAACATCTATTCACTAATAATAGTGAAATCTCTGTGATCAAAAAGGTATTTAATGTTTAAATAAAATGAATGTGGTTTTAAACTTAATTTTAGGGGAAATATTGTTGAAATTGGGAAGATTAAAAGAAGCCAGTGAAGTATTCAAAAACTTGATTGATCGGAATGCAGAGAATTGGTGTTATTATGAAGGCTTGGAGAAAGCTCTACAACTTAGTATGTAATGATTTTTTTTTTCTACTTTCTCTAACCAATGTTTAAAAGTATAATAAAATGTAAAGTTGGTAATAATACTTGAGAACAAATAATTTTAGCATTAGTGCTTGTTTTTCCATTTAGTAAAATTATATTTAGGTTAAATATGGGGGGGAAATGAATTCGAATAATTACACTTCACTATAAATGCTTACAGATAATTTTAGATTTTGTGACCCATTAAAATCTTACCAATTTAGACTAACTAGAGAGAGGGGGAGGAAAATGAGCATTCTCTTTCTGGGAAATGTTATGATTATTTAATATTTTTAAATCATTAGAGATTCATTATCCTCAACCTCTAAAGATAAGAATTGGGCCAAAGAATTCTTGCCATGGGTATGTTGTATATATCAAGGGTATGTTGTGTTTACCAATGAAAACGAAAATTATTTTCTTAATTTCAAACTAGGCTAATTCATGCACAGCAAAATATTTTGCATCTTCTTTTGAAATTAGCCTTGATCCTTTGCCGAAATTTAGTGCTATTCCAAAATTTCCCTAATATTTTCATAATTAAGTATTGTTAAGAGCAGTTAATATTCCTAAAATCATATTTAATTGTTTTCTTTTTTGTTTTGGTTGTGACAGAGTCTTGCTCTGTCACCCTAGGTAGTGTAGTGGCGTCATCGTAGCTTACTGTAACCTCAAACTCCTGGCCTCAAGAGATCTTCCTGGCTCAGCCTCCCAAGTAGCAGGGACTACAGGCGTGTGCCATGACTGTTGGCTAATTTTTCTATTTTTAGTAGAGATGGGGTCTCACTTTTTTTAAGACTGGTTTCAAACTCCTGAGCTCAAGTGATCCTCTCACCTCGGTCTCCCAGAGTGCTAGGACAGGCGTGAGCCACCGCACTTAGCCCATATTTAATCGTAAATAAATGTTTTCCTGAAATGATTATGAAACAGGCTTGAGGATGTTGAAACAGCAGAATTTTTAAATTTAACAAGTACATTAGGCCCAGTGTGGCGGCTCCTATAATCCCAACACTTTGGGAGGTAGTAGTGGGAGGATTGCTTGAGGTCAGGAGTCAAGACCAGCCGGTGCAACATAGCAAGATGCCAATTCTACCAAAAAAAAGTATGTTAAATAGGTGGCTCCCCATATATTCATTAATAGTAATATGAGCTATGAAAAAATTTGTTATACCCTAATCATTGTTATTAATTAATGTATGTTTTCTGTTTATATTTAAAATTTAATACTATAAGTTATTAGAAGTTTTTATTTCCTTAAGTAACTTTTTAAGAAAATGTTCAAAATATTGATTAGATCAATAATCTGTAAAATATGGGGCAAAAGTCCTCTGTTGAAGGGTGGAAATGTGAGATAACTATGAATTTTCTTTAAAATAGTACTCACTGCCTTGCAGTTAATAAAAGTATTTTAATGTTTTAGTAAAATGGATATAATGTGTTCCATATGTCAGGATCCTTGGTTACTGTAAAATATATTGATTACAAAACTAATTATACCACTTTATCGTTTTAGGTTCCTTAGGACCTTTTCTTCCCCATGGTAAGTTCTGGAGCTCCAACTTGTGACTTCAGATAGGACATTGAAATGGTTTAGTTTTGTCTTAATGTTTATTGAACTACATTTCTAAGACTTGTTATATCTGGGGTAGTGGAGAAATTTTTTTTATACTTCAGCCTGTCTTTCTCCAAGATTAGGCATAAACATGAGAACTATTTTTTTTTTTTTTTTTTTTTTTTGAGACAGTGCTTTGCTCTGTTGCTCAGGCTTGGAAGTACAGTGGTGTGATCACAGCTAACTGAAACCTCAAACTCCTGGGCTCAAGTGATCTTCCCATCTCAGCCACCGAAGTAGCTAGGACTACAGGTGCACGCCACCATGCCTGATTTTTAAAAAACATTTTCTGTAGAGACAGGGGTGTTGATATGTTGCCCAGGCTGGTCTCCAACTCCTGACCTCCAGTGATCCTCCTGTGTCCACCTTCCAAAGTGCTGGGATTATGGGTGTGAGCTACCATACCAGACAAGAACTATTTTTTTAAAAATACATATATTTTTATTGTCTCCAAGTAAATTTTAGTTTAAGGGTCTTTAATCATTCATGAAGTCTCCAAATCTTTAACAGAATGTGAAAATTGTTTTTCACATGTCCCAGGTTTTAAAATCCAACCACATTGGAGCTCCAAAACATATTATTGGGGGAAGGAATGAGTCTAAACAAAATCAAACTTTACCTCTTAAAATGCAGTGTTTACAGTCTTGTTAGTAAACACTCCATTTATTATGGAGATACCTTGTTTGCTAGCACCAAGGGTTATTCTTAGAATAATTATATATTTGTGGTCTGAATTAAAGTCCACTTTAAGCCTTATAGTGTCAAAACAGGTTTGTTTGCTTTTTCTTAAAATTCTGTTGTAATTTGCTTAAATAAAGTAATGTATGTGATTTCTCTTGGTCAGTTTTGTAGGTTATTGTTTTAGAATAATGAACTGCACCCAGATTCTACTCTGCATATTTTTGCTGCAGAGTAACATAGTTTACATTTAAATCCTCTATGTGGTATAATTAAATTATGAGGGAAGATAGAACTTTTTGTTAGAAGTATATTTTATATCTTTTGTGAGAAATGATAGCCACTTTATAGAATCAATGGGTTTTTTTTATAATGGAGTTTCATTGGAAGATTTTAAGTCTCAAAGCTACCATAGAAATTGAGTTCATTTTTTAAAATATAAAACATTTGCAATTGTGATCCTAAAACTGTTGCTTTTTGAAGCCTAATCAGCAGGCTATAAACTTCATAGGGATATATGTAGGCTTTATTGGTTTAGAATGTTTACATAAGATATGTTATAAAGGATATATTATAAAAGGATTTTCTTTTTCACGTTTTGTGCTAAAGAATATAAGAGAAGTGCAGCGTGTGTTAAGCATATATTAAGTCTGTGTGGCTAGTGTGTATGTGATTTGAGTTGTATCTGTTGTGATAAAAGAAGTTTTGGATTTCTCTAGAGATAAAGTTTAAAATGATAACTTACTGATTATAGTATTTCACTACCACAGGGCTTTTAATATCATACTTAACTAAAATTGAAAGCAGCATCCATATTGTTAATATAATTTTTATTTATAACATAATTTTTAAAGTTTGTTAGCCTTTTGTCATAGATGAAAGTTTTGATGCTATGAATTTCATCTGTATTTACTGACAATAGGCACTTTAGAAGAGAGGCTTCAAATTTATGAAGAAATTAGTAAGCAACATCCCAGAGCCATTTCACCTAGAAGATTACCTTTGAATCTTGTCCCAGGTAATATTGGGATATCTTTTGTAGTACTAATAATTATTTGTTGAAATTATGTAATAATATTCATATTTTAAAAAGTTGTTTCTGGTATAGAGTTTACCTCTGTACCAATCTTGGGGTTGAGAGTGACCATTTATGAATTTATTATGCATATGTTAGTAAGAGTGTTATACTTCAATATATGGCAAAAATGTTGGTTTTAAGTATTTGAAGTTGTTCTATATAAAACTGCTTTTCTTAAGTTGATCTCATGAAGTGGAGAGTAGAGATAGAGGCTGGGAAGGGTGTGTGTGTTGGCAGGGTCAGGGGGATGAAGAAAGATTGGTTAATGGTTACAAACATAGATAGAAGGAGTAAGTTCTAATGTTCCATAGCAGAATAGGGTGTCTACTTCAAAACACCTAGAAGTGTGGACTTGAAATGTTCTCAACACATAGAAATGATAATATTCAAGGTAACAGATTCCCCAGATACTCTGACTTGATCATTATACATTCCATTGCATGTAACAAGATACCACATGTACCCCATAAATATGTATAAATATTATGTATTAATGAAAACTGCTTTTCTTATGTGACATATTTATAAAAGCACCATATTTAGAAGGCAAATTAAATTCCCTAGAATTGCTGAAAAATTATATGAGGTATTATAATTTAAGTGGTGGAAGTATGGAAGTTTTCTATTTAAAGTATAAATTCAAAGAAAATGTTGTAAGCTTTTTGTGCCCACCACAGTGTTTAAAATAACATCATAATTTCCTTTGAAGGCCTCTCTCCTGAGAGTTAACCACATTCCTAAGTTTCACTTTAATTTATAGAACTCCATGTATTTTGTATCCCTAAAAACAAAACAAATAGCTTATGTAAATTGGAATTCTCTGGTATGTATTCAGTGATTTGTGTTTATTGCACAGTAGTATGTATGTGACCTTGAACCAAGTTATGTTATATAACTGAACTCATTTACTTCTGGGCTGTGTAGGAGGTAGAGAGTATATTAGTTCTTCAGATAGTTAACATCTTTATTGATCATTTTATTAAAAAATTGTGTTTTTGTTGAAGTCTTTATTTTTAGTTGTGAGTGCTGTAGTTTATGACTTATTTATTGGGGCTTTTGGCATTTCTTTTTATATAAGTCAGACTCTAGAAAGCTAATATAACTTTTAAAATAGTCTGGGGGAGTGGTTGTGGGGTGGAGAATATTTTCTAATAAATTTTCACAGTGGAAAATACATGTTTAATTGGGTTATGATTTTATTTTTATTGAAAGATTCATGAAAATTAAAAATTTTTAGTTGAGTCTATTAAAAATATATGAAATACCTCTTAGAAATGGATTGGATAGTAGATAGAAATTCATTTAAAAAATTCATTTTCTACTAGCGCATATCAGTTCCATAGATGATGAGTCATATTCTTTTGATCCCTCCCTATTTTGTTTTGGTTTAGTAGAATACTGAAAGCACATTTTACTAATGTTTTCCAGGGAACATTAAGTCCAAGTGGATGAGTTTAAACACAACTATAGAGTTTCTACAGGACTTGTCAGAGCTTTTTTTTTCCTTTTACATTTGCCCTTTGGCTGTAGAGAGCTTTTAATATACTTTTTATGAATTCAAAGATTGGAGTTTACTGTGTAGGAAGGAGCATTTCTCTAATAAAAGAAAGTGTTTTATGGAAGATGCTTAGGCTCACATGTCTGTACCTCTTTCTCCTCCTTTTTTTTTTTTTTTGAGACAGAGTCTCGCTTTGTTGCCCAGGCTAGTGTGAGTGCCGTGGCGTCAGCCTAGCTCACAGCAACCTCAAACTCCTGGGCTCGAGTGATCCTTCTGTCTCAGCCTCCCGAGTAGCTGGACTACAGGCATGCGCCACCATTCCCGGCTAATTTTTTATATATATATCAGTTGGCCAATTAGTTTCTTTCTATTTATAGTAGAGACGGGTCTCGTTCTTGCTCAGGCTGGTTTTGAACTCCTGACCTCGAGCAATCCACCCGCCTCGGCCTCCCAGAGTGCTAGGATTACAGGCGTGAGCCACCGCACCCGGCCTTTTTTTTTTGTTTTGAGACAGGATCTCACTTTGTTGCTGTGATAGGAATGCAGTGATGTGATCATAGCTCACTGCAACCTCAAACTCCTGAGCTCAAGTGATCCTCCTGCCTCAGACTCCTAAGTAGCTGGGACTCATACCACCATGCATAGCTAACTCTCCCTCTTTTTATTTTTTTTAATAGCTTTCTGAAATATAATTCATATACCATAACATTTACTGTTTTAAAGTGTATAATTGTTTTAGTTTATTCATAGAGTTGTGCGATCATCGTCACTATCTGCTTTCAGAAAACTTTTCATGACTCCAAAAAGAAACCCCATATCCATTAGCAGCCATACCCTAGGCCCCTTCACCCCCAGAACCCGACAGCTACTAATCTACTTTCTGTACCTATGGATTTGCCTGTTTCTGGACATTTCATATAAATGAAACTATACCATATGTGGCCTTTAGTGTGTGGCTTCTCCTTTTATCAGTCTCAAGGTATGTCTTGTATTTTACAATGTGGGTAGGGGTATTCTCTTACGAGCTTTCAAATGCATTCACATACCTCTTAGGAAACAAAGAAGTCTCATTTAGCGTTAAGATTACAAACACGATTTATTTCCATAGTCAATAAAGTTTGCTAAAGGCTCTCAGTACATGGCAGTGTATAGTAGGAAATACATTTTCAGGTGTGATTTTAGGTTAAAGTGGAACCATCCTAGACTCTCTGGGACATTCTGTCTTTGAAATGCTAAAAGGACTTTTGTTTACTAGATATATCCCAGTTGAAAGGTTTAATGGCTTGGGCTTCAAGGTCCTCAGCATCACTGTGAGGTTCTTTCTTTTTTTCTTTTTCTTTTGTTATGTTCTCTTTATTCTTTCCCATTCTTCCCTTCCTTACTTTTGATAGGGTCTCACATAGTGATAGCTCACTGTAACCTCAAACTCTTACTCAAGGGATCCTCCCCCTTTAGCCTTCTGAGTAGCTGGGACCACAGGTGCCACCACCACCCCTGGCTACTTTTTAAACAGTTTTTGTAGGGAGAGGGTATCACTATGTTGCCCAGGCTGGTCTCAAACTTCTGGCCTCAAGCAGTTCTCCCCCCTTGGGTTCCCAAAGTGCTGGAGTTGCAGGTGTGGGTTACTGTGCCTAGCCTCTTTCTAGTTTTTAAATTCTTTTTTGTTGATTTTATTTTTCTTTCATTTAAATATTTTTTTTCTCCTTCAGAACATGATACGTTCGGATCACTGTGAGATTCTGACATACATGTATTGACAAAGCTCTAATGAATATGTATAAAATTATGTAAATACTCAGTTGTATCTGCAAAAGCTCAATGTTTCGTGACTTCTTTTGCCTACCTAAAAATATTTTTATGTGCATTTTGGCATTATCAAAAGCAATAAGATCTTTTTCAAGAAACATGATAGAACTTGAATATGCAAGATAAAAGTTTTGAAAAAGTTCCAGTGTTTAGATAAAAAGGCTTGATATCTACAGAGCAGTGGGGAAATTCTCTAACACCCTGAAATATTAAGTGCTCTAGAAGCAATGCAGAGATAAAGCAACTTTTCAAAATAATTAATAGAATTTATCACGTTCCATTATTCTTCACTGGCTGAGGGGTGGAGAGAAGGAAGGAGATAATCCAGAGTGTTAAACACAGAATACTATTAATAATTAAATTTTGTTCCATTATTTAGAATGGATTTCCAGTGAATCAGAAATAGTCTGATCTTGCAGTTTATGGTAATTATTTTAGCGCTGGTTTTTGGGGCATCGATTTTTATGTGAATCTATGCTACATATCTAGATAAGAATTAAGCATAGTACCTATGCAGTCAGGTAACCTGTTTTGTGAACAGTAATGCTAAACAGGCATATAATATTGATGATCCCCCCCCAAGATAAGAATATGGGGGTACAAAATAAGTAGGAAGAAGGGAGATAATTTGTTTTGTGTAAAGGTTCTTCTTATATCTAAAGAAAGAATTTGAGATGTATAAATAATTAGTAATTTGGGGGATACGGTGAGCAGCGTAGACTTCTTGTTTAAATGATACATTCTTACAGTTACAAATTAGAAGGGTTTATAAGTGAAGTCTGTTTCTTGTCTCTGTCCCCTGGTTACCAAGTTTACTTGCCTAAACACATCTGTTGTTATCAGTTGATGGTGTATTCTTCCAGAAATACACTGTGCATATACAGGCAAAAAGTGTGGAAGGTTTATGTACAGCTTTCCTTTTTTCTCCTCCCTTTTTACAAAAGTAGTAGCATGCATTGCTTTGTATCTGGATTTTCTTTTAAATATATTTGGAGAACAGTCCTATTTCAGCACATAAAGAACTTCATTCTTTTTCATACCTATGCAGTCTTAATAAATCAAATCTGCCAGTATGATCTGAATAGACCAAGAAAGTGGGCCAAGAAAGAGGAGTTCAGAGTAGCTTCTGACATGAAGATAAGTGCTTGGGGGTAATTGGGGGTATAGAAAACAGAATCTTAAATGTAGAAATATAATACCCTGACAAGGTATCGGGGAAGATAGTGGTAGATACATTTATTCAGTGATTGCTGTATGCCAGACACTCCTTTACTGCCATCCATTTTTTATAACTTTTGGCTTATACCAGTGCTGGGAAGATTTGATCTCTGAAACTACTTTCTATTTTTAAGGCAGTAATGGTGTATATTTAACCTAGGATGAAGTATTATGCTGTTTTGGTATTCTGTGATTTTCAAAAGACCAGTCCTTTGTATGTGATCTAATAAGAAATTAGAGATTATCTGAGAACAGTCTTTATAGTTAATAGAGTTAATTTTTGTGACATCTAATTATATTGAGTATACAAGTTTTGTTTGATGGAATCACAGCAAATTAAAATAACCACTTTGGGTTGTTAGATTTTGTTATACAGTATTGTGGTTCATAAAGAAACCTTAGGGGGTCATTTCAGTCATCTGTCTCACTTTTTAGGCTAAATAGTTCATGACATATGTGCTTTTTTTTTTTTTTTTTTTAATGATTGAGTAAATCCATGTCCTTATATATTAACCCTTACTGTGAAAAAGTTCAAGTCTTTGTATTTAAAATGAAACTTCTTTAAATATTTAAAAACTTCTTTAAATATTTTCTGCTTTCAAAGAGTGACACCAAATCTTTTGTAAGGGTTTATTAATAATATAATTATTTACTTGATGTTTGCACATAGAGTATTTATTTTAATTCTGATGTTAGAATACTCCAGGGCTCAGTCTAATTCCTAACATACATATTTTATTTTCATTGTTGGTCTCACTCATTAGAATGTTAAATTCTAAAATCCTATGAGGGCAAGATTTAAAAAATTATTTTTGTTTAATCAGTGCTCTATTCCCAATACCTAAAACAATACCTGACTTGTAGTAGGTGCTTTGTACATCAGTGTGGAATTAGTGGATGTTGAAGTAAATCACAAGTTGATTTGGGAAAGCATTTGTAAACATCAGTTTAGTGTTTGTAAAAAGATATTTCAGCTACTACTTGAAGACAGTGCTGATTTACAGTAGTCTACTGCAGAGTACTTTATGAGTTGTCTGTAGGGTTTTGAGCTGTGGGTAGGTAGTATAGGACTGAGTCTGTGATAGTGAGAGATTAGGAAAGATACTTGCTATTGTGGCTGTATTCAGAATGAATAGTAGGTTATTACTTTTACTCTTTACTTAAAGCTGCACAATCGTTTTGTTTACCTATCTTTTTAAGTATTCCTTCGTGATATTTTGAACCTAGATCTAGGGGAAAATATAGTTGCCAACTGAGGTAATTTGGTGTTATGCTTTTTGGTGATAAGAAGAAATAATGCAGATTGACGTTTTGAGTTTAAGAATTAGATGGTACAGTCTGAAGTCAGGCATCAGGGGAAAAAAGAAAAATAAAATAATAAAATTAGAATAAAAGAAAAAGAATTAGATGGGACATAATTATTTCTGAGGGAGCTTTGTTTTTATTTAGAAAATCATTTTTTTTTCTTTTTTTTTTTTTTTCACAGCATGTAGGATGTATAGAAAATCATTTTAAGAATTGTTTGCATCAATTGAAGTATAACAAAGTACGCTTTTGTTTCTAGGTGAAAAATTTAGAGAACTGATGGATAAGTTCCTGAGGGTTAACTTCAGTAAAGGCTGCCCACCCTTGTTTACTACTTTGAAATCTTTATATTGCAATACAGAAAAGGTAAAATTTGGTATTTATTCAGTTTTGCTATAGTCTTTTTACTGAATTATAGAAAGATGCTCATGCAAGTGATATGCTATAATTTAATCATCTCTGTTCTTGTATTATTTACCTTTTAGTGTAATAATAGAGGCACTGAAATTATATACCTGTAGTATAAGTAATATCAAAGGAAATGTCAATCCGTGCAATTTACTGAATAAATGGTTTATAAAAGCACTAATGTATAAAAGTTGTTTATTTTTAATGGATGTACTTTCTGGTAGATTTTAAATTTGACATATTTTTACCAGAGGTCTATATTTACTCTATGATTATTATTTTATAGCATAATTATGGATTTCTCAATTTGTTGTGCATGCTTTTAAAGTTAATAGCTTGTATAATTAAGTTCTACAGTAAAATGCCATTTGGTCAACAGAGTACAAATTATTTGTTTTAACTAGTAGGCCACATTTTAATAAATATAGTTTTTAGCTTTATTTTTTAATACAGTTTCTGCTTTTTTTTTTCCCAGTGTCCCTTAGACTCAGTAGGAAGGAACTTTCTGCTTTGTAAAATTAGAAAATGGGCATTTAAATCTTGGTCTTAAATTAGATAAATAGACTGAGCATGGTGGCTCATGCTTGTAATCTCAGCACTTTGTGAAGCTGAGGCAGGAAGATCACTTGAGGCCAAGAGTTTGAGACCAGCCTGGGTAATATAACAAGATCCCATCACAAAACACATACACATTCTCATATTCCCTCCCTCCCTCCCTGCCTGCCTGCCTGCCTGCCTTCTCTTTCCCTCTCTCTCCCCCCAACCCAAATCTTATTTTTAGTCTGTATATAATAATTACTTATTTCAGAAATGTGAAAACCTCAATGTTAAAATAATAATGTACTCAAATAATGTATTTAAATGGCATCCATGGTATATCATGGCAATAGGAGGGTTTTTTAGAAATGAGTTTTTATTTACTTTCTAAACTTTCAACTATAACTTTGTTTTAGGTCTTTATCTAGGCATAGTTGTTTTTTTTTTTTCTTTTTGAGACAGAGTCTCACTTTGTTGCCCGGACTAGAGTGCCATGGTGTCAGCCTAGCTCACAGCAGCCTCAAACTCCTAGGCTCAAGCAATCATACTGCCTCAGCATCCAAAATAGCTGGGACTACAGGTATGCACCACCATGCCCGGCTAATTTTTTTCCCTCTCTATATTTTTTTAATTAGCCAATCAATCAGTTTCTTTCTATTTTTAATAGAGACGGGGTCTCACACTTGCTCAGGCTGGTTTCAAACTCCTGACCTCGAGCGATCCTCCTGCCTCGGCCTCCTAGAGAGCAGAGCTAGGATTACAGGGGTGAGCCACCGTGCCCAGCTTATTTTAGTTTTAACAATGAAGAAACCATATTAATTTGGCTGGGCGCGGTGGCTCACGCCTGTAATCCTAACACTCTGGGAGGCCAAGGCGGGCAGATTGCTCAAGGTCAGGAGTTCCAAACCAGCCTGAGCAAGAGCGAGACCCCGTCTCTACTATAAAATAAGAAGAAATTAATTGGAAATAATAATATATACAGAAAAAATTAGCCGAATTGCTTGAGCCAAGGAATTTGAGGTTGCTGTGAGCTAGGCTGACTCCATGGCACTCTAGCCCAAAGTGAGTGAGACTCTGTCTCTAAAAAATAAATAAACAAACAAACAAACCAACAAAAATAAACAAACAAACTAAAACAACAGTTTAGGTTACTGTATATAGCATAAGATTTTTTTTTTTTTTTTTTTGAGACAGAGTCTCACTTGTTGCCCAGGCTAGAGTGAGTGCCATGGCGTCAGCGTAGCTCACAGCAACCTCAACTCTTGCTCAAGTGATCCTCTGCTAGCTCCCAAGTAGCTGGACTAGAGGCATGCACCACCATGCCGCTAATTTTTTCTATTATATATTAGTTGGCCAATTAATTTCTTTCTATTTATAGTAAGATGGGGTCTCGCTCTTGTTCAGGCTGGTTTCGAACTCCTGACCTCGAGCAATCTGCCCGCCTGGGCCTCCCAGAGTGCTAGGATTACAGGCGTGAGCCACCACGCCTGGCCAAGAGTGGACATTTTTATCTTGTTCTGCTCTCAGGGGGAAAGCACCTAGTTCTTCACCGTTAAGGGTTTTGCTCGCTGTTGGTTTTTCATGTATGTGCTTTATAATGTTAAAGATGTTCCCTTCAATTCCTAGTTGTACATTTTTATCATGAAAGGGTGTTGTTGGATTTTGTCAAATGCTTTTTCGGTGTCAATGGAGATGATCCTGTGGGTTTTGTTTTTTATTCTGTTGGTGATGTATTTTACATTAATTGATTTTCAGATGTTATACCAATTTTGCATTGCTGGGATAAAACCTACTTGGTATGGTGGATAATTCTTTTTATATATTGCTGGGTTCATTTTGCTAGGTTTTGTTGAGGATTTTTTTTTTTTTTTTTTTTTTTTTTTGAGACAGTCTCACTCTGTTGCCTGGGCTAGAGTACCATGGCTTCAGCCTAGCTCACAGCAACCTCAAACCTCTGGGCTGAAGCGAATCTCCTGCCTCAGCCTCCCGACTAGCTGGGACTACAGGCATGTACCACCATGCCTGGTTAATTTTTTCTATATTTTTAGTTGTCTATCTAATTTCTTTCTATTTTTAGTAGAGATGGGGTCTTACTCTTGCTCAGGCTGGTCTCGAACTCCTGAGCTCAAATGATCTGCCTGCCTTGGCTTCCCAGAGTGCTAGGATTACAGGCGTGAGCCACCACGCCCAGCCAGTTGAGAATTTTTGCATTTATAGTTCTCAGAGATACTGGCCTGTAGTTTTCTTGTAATGTCTTTATCTGATTTTGGTATGAAGATGTTCCCTCCTTTTTTTTTTTTTTTTTTGAAGAACTTGTGAAGAATTGATATTTTTGTAAGTGTTTGATAGAATTTATCAGTGAAGTCATATGGGCCTCGAGTTTTCTCTTTGGGTAGTTTTTTGATTACTTATTCAAATTCTTTATTATTGGTCTATTCAGATACTGTATTTATTCTTCACTCACTTGAAATCCATGTTTCTAGAAGTTTGTCCATTTCATCCAAGTTACACAATATTAGTATGTAGTTGTGTATCATATTCCTGGTAGCACTATCCCCCCCTCCTCTTTTTTTTTTTTTTGGGAGACAGTATCTTGCTCTGTTGCCCAGGCTGGAGTACACTGTCGCCATCATAGTTCATTGCAAGTTCAAACTCCCAGGCTCAAACAATCCTCCTACCTGGCCTTCCCGAAGTGCTGAGATTACAGGCATGATTTTAAAATGACAGAGACAAAATACTATTTTTAAAAAGAATAGCTATTACATATTAATTTTTCATATGACACACTGCCTAGTTGAGATAGATGGTAAGTAGACTTGAGTGAAATCGGTCATTCCTTAGTAATACTTAGATTACCTTTTATAGACAAATTTGGAATATTGAATTGTTCACTTAATTACTGAATTAAAAGTGACTGTAACATAGATTTTTGAGATTTAAAGAAGTATGCCTAATGAATCATGAAGTCCAGTGCTCTTTGCAGGTTTTTTATTTAGGAGATTTCATGTGAAATTTCCATTATCTTGTTTTGTTTTGTTTTTTTCATGATGAGATCTTCTCTTGAAGTTCTGAAACTGGAGATCTATTTTTTTTTTTCTTTTTTTTGAGACAGAGTCTCGCTTTGTTGCCCAGGCTAGAGTGGAGTGCCGTGACGTCAGCCTAGCTCATAGCAACCTCAAACTCCTGGGCTCAAGCAATCCTCCTGCCTCAGCCTCCCGAGTAGCTGGGACTACAGGCATGCGTCACCATGCCCGGCTAATTTTTTCTATATATATTAGTTGGCCAATTAATTTCGTTCTATGTATGGTAGAGACGGGGTCTCGCTCTTGTTGGTTTCGAACTCCTGACCTTGAGCAATCCGCCTGCCTGGGCCTCCCAGAGTGCTAGGATTATAGGCGTGAGCCACCGTGCCTGGCCTGGAGATCTATTTTATTCAGTAGAGTTTATATTCTTTTATGACAGATTGTGTGTAACTTCAATATATGTTTTATTGTACTTTTTATTATTAAAATTGACTTCTTTGAAAAAAGTTTCACCCTGGAGATGCATGAAGGTATACCATTTTTGAAAACTTGCTCTAGTTGCAGTTTTTTCAACTGCCAGTAGATGGCATTGTAAGTTCATGAAAAAAGTATTTGCCTTCCTAAGAGGAACAGTTAGACTGAATTTCTAAGTGTGTGTTGTTTTTGTTTTTTGAGATGGATTCTTGCTCTGTTGCCCAGGCTGGAGTGCAGGGTCATCATCATAGTTCAGACTCCTGGGCTCAAGTGATCCTCTCAATTCATCCTCCTGAGAAGCTGGGACTACAGGCGTGTGCACCACCAAGCCCAGCTAATTTTTATTTATTATTTTTTGTAGAGACTGGGTTTTGCTATGTTGGCTAGGCTTACAAAAATTTTTTTAAGTTACACATATTCTAAGTGAGATTGGTGGGGCAGTCATGTTAGGTTGAAAATGCGGGGGGAGGGGGAGAAAGGGCATTTATTGAAACCTTAAAATTTGTACCCCCATAATATGCCAAAATAAAAAAAAAAAAGAAAATGCCTGCTACCATTAATTTTGCTTTATAGTAAAAATCTTTTTTGTCGCAGGTTTATCAGTGTTTCTCAAACTCTTACTTGAGTGTCAGGATGAACTGAAGTGCTTGTTAAAAACAGATTGTATAGAAACCAGAGTTTCTGATTCTGTCAGTATGGGGTGTGGTATAGAACTGCATCTCTGGCCAGGTGTATTGGCTCATGCCTGTAATCCTAGCACTCTGGGAGGCCAAAGCGGGTGGATTGCTTGAGGTCAGGAGTTCGAAACCAGCTTGAGCAAGAGCGAGACCCCCGTCTCTACTGTAAATAGAAAGAAATTAATTGGCCAACTAATATATATATAGAAAAATTTAGCCAGGCATGGTGGCACATGCCTGTAGTCCCAGCTACTTGGGAGGCTGAGGCAGAAGGATTGCTTGAGCCCAGGAGTTTGAGATTTCTGTGAGCTAGGCTGAAGCTATGGCACTCTAGCCAGGGCAACAGAGTTAGACTCTATCTCAAAAAAAGAAAACAAAACAAAAAACAAAAAGAACTGCATCTCTTACAAGTTACCACATGATATTTATGTCAATGGTCTGAAGATTGCCCTTTCAGAACCACTGTTTTCAAATTAAATAGTCTTTATTATAAAAACAAAAAACAAAGAATGTACCCATTTTCTACCACCCTGATCTCTTCAGTCATATTTTTATTGAGTATGTAGTATCTGTACATACTTGTTTTAGTGAAATCATAGTATGTGTTCATTATTTTCACTTCCTGTTTTTTCTGTTAGTTACACATTGTCCTTAGTGTCAGTTTCCCATCTATTTTCTTCATTGCCCATCTGTCTAAACTCTACTAGAAAATTGTGCCATATAATACAAAATCATGAGAAAGGTATCATGTAGGCCTGAGAAATGTTTTAATTTGGTTTTTGTTTTATAGTGTTTTTTGACTGGTGTCATTAGGATGGTCAGTTTTGTGGACACTAACCTATGAGTTTCTGAGATGGGGATTAACGTGGGTTCACAATAAAGCTAATGAAATTGTACCGTCCTATATTAAATGGAATGCATGAAGAGGTTTCTTTCCTAGCCATATGTTACAAAATCTGTTTAGGACGTTGTGACACATGGTGTGCTCTTCAGTGGCTGGGGAGCCCTAGTGAATTTTGGTTGGTGTGTAAAGAGGCCTTGGGATAGGCCGGGCGCGGTGGCTCACGCCTGTAATCCTAGCACTTTGGGAGGCTGAGGCGGGCGGATTGCTCAAGGTCAGGAGTTCGAAACCAGCCTGAGCGAGACCCTGTCTCTACCAAAAATAGAAATAAATTAATTGACCAACTAAAAATATATGTACAAAAAATTAGCCGGGCATGGTGGCGCATGCCTGTAGTCCCAGCTACTCGGGAGGCGGAGGCAGTAGGATCGCTGAGCCCCGGAGATTGAGGTTGCTGTGAGCCAGGCTTACGCCACGGCACTCACTCTAGCCTGGGCAACAAAGTGAGACTCTGTCTCAAAAAAAAAAAAGAGGCCTTGGGATAGAAAAGAAATATAGCTGTTTCTCTGAAAAGAAACATGTCTAAAGTCCCATTTTTCACAGAGTAGTAAGTAATGTATCAGGCCTTGTTTTGATTTTATTTTCTAAATAGGAACCCTTCATGAATTTGCATGTCATCCTTGTGCAGGGCCTATGCTAATCTTATCTGTATTATTTCAATTTTGGTATATGTGCTGCCAAAGCAAGCACCAGATCTTATTTTGTAGTAAAAAGGTAAGCAAGTTGGATAGTAAACCCAGTAATTGTGTTGAGTACAGATTCCCACTTTCTGTCCTTTTCCCAGGGTTGCTGACAATAATAAGCAAAACAGAGTCATTTTTAATTTCACTTATAATCTTCAAACTTTGGGTCATTTCACTTGACTTTTTTGTCATGTGTTACATTTTGGAAAATCTGAACATTTATTTAATGGTTTAGAACTTCACAATATAACAATAGGAAGCAAAAAGTAAGTAAATTGTTATTAAATTAAACAAATGTTTATTCACAAAAAAAACCAAACCGGTTTTGTAGTAACTAGTAGCAATTTATCCTTCCAAACATCAAGTTAGTGAGGTTCTGTTTCACTATTAATAAAGACAGCAGTGTTCAGCATTTTCTTTTTTTCCCCATCCCCTCACAAGGAAATATATTGAGAATGAGAAAAACGCAGATACCCTCGTATTTTATAGTTCTGAAATAAGCTGTATAGTGTTTTCCAAATCTAATTTAATGCATAGTAAATAAAAATACTTCCAGTAAAATATTTTTAAATTTTAAAAATATGTTTCTTTAACAGGTTTCTATAATCCAGGAACTTGTTACTAATTATGAAGCCTCCCTTAAAACCTGTGACTTTTTTAGCCCTTATGGTAAGTTTAAATTAGATTGAATTAGAATTTGATTACTCGTTTCAATTCATTTGTAATCACTTACAGTAATGCACTGTTATGTTTATTATGTGTGCTACATAATAACTACTTATTAAATAGTTTTTGCATTAGTGAGTGAAATGAGAGTACTTTCAATCTTATTTAATTTAAATTTTCCATAAACCTGTGGAATGGGAGTTAGCCCTGTTTTAACATGAAGAAATGGACTTTAGAGGTTGAGTGGCTTGCTGAAGACCATGCAGTTAGTTTATGTTAGAACCTGATTTTCCAGAATCCATAAATCCTCTGATTTTTCTGCTCTTTTATTACTTTTAATCCTGAATAATTTGGTCCTTTGTTTCTCTATTTGTAAGGGGATATGTAAATGAAGGCAACTTAATTTTAAAAACACTCTAGAATGTTTTCAGTCATCAGATGGTAACTTTAGAGTGAGTTCCTCAAGTGACTTTTCATGTCATTATTTGAGTATTTTTTAAAATTGAGATGGGGATCTTGCTGTGTTGCCCTGGCCGGTCTCAAACTTCTGGGCTCAAGCTGTCTTCCCACTCTAGCCTCTTGAGTAGCTGGTATTACAGAGGTGTGACACTGCACCCCACTCTTTTGAGTATTTATAAGGCAAAATTCTAGGCATATTGTTCCCTACCTTAGTATGCATCTCTGTTTAAAATGATTAAACAGAAGATGTCATTGCAGTGCTATGTCACACAGAATTAACCTCATGCTATAATATCTATTAATACCAAGTCCACATTCAGATTTCCCCAATTATCCAAAAAAAGTCTTCATAGGTTGGTTTGTTTGAATCTAGATCTAGTTAAGGTCCACACTTTGCATTTGATTGTCATGTCTCTTATGTTCTTTTAATCTAGAGCAGTAACCTCCCCTTCCTTTTTTTTTTTTAACATTTTTTGAAAGGTCATTTGTCTTATAGGATATCCCATATTCTAGATTTGGCTGATTGCTTTCTTGTGTTATCGTGTAACATATTTAACTGGCATTCATATTTCTTGTAAACTTATAGTTAGATTTATAGGGTCGATTAGATTTCAGTCCCATTTGAATACTTACTGGTGGTGCTTTGTGCTTCCTGTTATATCACACCTGGAGGCAGGAGGCATTGTAGTTGTCTCTCTGTTTTGATGTTGAGGTTGTCACCCTGGTATGCCCATTAAAAAGCTCCTCATTGGCCTCTCACCTAATGATTTTAGCAGCCGTTGAGGATCATTGCATTGATCCCTTATTTTATTCTAATCATCATTGTGTCTGCATTAGCTAGAATTCTTCTTATAAATAACTTTCCTTCATAAAATATTCATTTCCTCTGAAATATAGTTTATGTAAGAAGAGCAGGATAGATGCTCAACACTTCACCTGCTATATTATATTTGCATCATTATTGTGTCATTTGATAAGCTACACCAGGAGACATTTTTGTTCTTCTGTAACATGGTTAAATTCATACTTTCCTCCTCATTTTATGCCTGTGTATCTTCCTTTCTGAAATCCATTGTGAGAGCTTGGTATTTTTTTTCTACTTTTCTGTAGCTTGAAGGTACAGCAGGATGGGGAACATAATAGAGCTAGGCTGATGGTACGTAACTGCTTTTGTTACAGAACTTGGGTTGTGTTCTCTCTTAGGTTTTTGTCAGATGGCAGGGTTATTTCCACTTTGTCAGGGGTATGTGTTCTTCTTGTGGGTCATATTCAACTTTCGGTTTCTCTGATTTAGTATTATAGGCCTAGAAAAGGCTAAGCCCTCGCAGTTTGGCAGTTCTTGACTCTGCTGAAGTTTTGGAGTTGTAGTTAGAGAATGTGTTCTCCAGAGAGAATCTCTTCTCTTTTCCTAGGCTTGTTGTCTTTTGCTTTCAGCCTGAAAATTCACAGAATTAGATTGATTTATGTCTTTTCCCAGCACTGTTTCTTTGGGAGTGAGGTTGGGTTTAGAAGCCCATCAAAACTACGATCGTGGTTTCTCTGCTTGACTGCTGCTTTTCAAACTTTATGGCATGAAGTCATACCACTTTCTGTTGAAATTGGTCATTTTTCCTGAGTTTTTACTGTTTATGACTATAATAATTATTTCATTATGAATTAGGGGAGAGAAAGTATGTAAATTTGCTTTATTTTAGATTCTTATAATAATTTAATATTTGTTTAATTACAGAGAATGGGGAGAAGGAACCCCCGACAACACTACTGTGGGTTCAGTATTTCCTGGCACAACACTTTGATAAACTTGGACAATATTCTTTGGCTTTGGATTATATTAATGCTGCAATTGCTAGTACTCCAACTCTAATAGAATTATTCTATATGAAAGCAAAAATTTACAAGGTAAAATCTAAATCATGTTTTGTGACTAGTTGAAGAATTCAGGTACTTTAAGAATCCTTGGAATTCTTTTTATTTAGAAATATCTTCTAGGGCACCCTGATAATCTTTTTTCTGAAATTCTTACTAATTCTAAGCAGTTTTATATTATGTAGCTGTGTAAACAATATTAGTCATTTGATTTAGCTCTTAGTATTAATAAATATGAATTGTAATTTAGATTATTAGATACATTCGATAGAAATGGTGTGAGATTTCTAGTTTGTCTTTATAAGTTTTTTTTTCTATTTTTATTGTACTCATATTTTCTTAATCTAAACTGTGATTTCTTTAATGCTTTTTTTATGTCTTAATAGCATATAGGTAATCTCAAAGAAGCTGCAAAGTGGATGGATGAAGCACAGTCTTTGGACACAGCTGATAGATTCATCAATTCCAAATGTGCAAAATATATGCTTCGAGCAAATATGATAAAAGAAGCAGAGGAAATGTGCTCCAAGTTCACAAGGGTAGGAGATAGTATACATGAACATGTAGTTGTCTGGATTAGTAAACTTAAGTTCTAGGATGATTTATGAAGTTTGCTACTGAAATTCATAAGAATTCTTTGTTTTTTAAAATCCTATTTAGCTCATGTCCTAAGTATGGTTTCTTACTGTAGTTGTGTGTGTATGCATGTCTTTCTGTCAGGGGATGGTCAAAGCAATAGCAGGATTAAATACCTTGGTACAAATACAAATACTATGTCATACTTTAGGGCTTATATGAAAAATTTGATTTGCGTTCCAAATTCTTTGTCTCCCTAGTAATTTTGGCTGCTTCTTTTGTTCTGTTCTATTTTGGTTTTTTTCAGACAGAGTCTTGCTGTCACCCAGGCTAGAGTGCAAGGTAGCATGGTGGTAGCTCACTGCAGCCTTGAACTTGTGGGCTCAAGTGACCCTCACACTTCAGCTTTCTAAGTAGCTGGGACTACAGGTGTGTGCCACCATGCTTGGCTAGGGTTTTTTTGTTTTTTGTTTTTTTTTAATTTTTTGTAGAGACAGGGTCTCTGGCTATGTTGCCCAGGTCTTGAACTCCTGGCCTCAAGCAATACTCCCACCTTGACCTCCCAAAGTATTGGGATTATAGATGTGAGCCACTGCACCTGGCTTGCTTTTTAATTGTCTCTTACAGTGTTTTACTTTAGAACTGCTCATAGAGTTCATTCTATGTGGACTGTTGGTCTCTGTGATGGTCTAGAATTTAAGTTTTCTGACATTGTTGGACAAAGCATCCATTCCTTTCCTTTCTCTTCTTCACCATCCTTTCATATCCTTTTCCACCGAGACTTTCTTTTACATTATGAAAATAATACATGTTTATGTTTAACTAAGTGGACTAACCGAACAGAGTAGAAAGCTCAGAAACAGATTCACACATATTTGGAAACTTGGTATATAGCCAGAGGTACTGTAAAAATCAGAGATAGAAAAATACTGCCAGGACAATTAATTATTGTGTTGAAAAAATAAAGCGACATCCTTATTTATTACTGTACATAAATCAGTTCCAGGTAGATTAAAGATCTAAATATGGTAAGTAAACCTTTCACACTTTTAGAAGAAAATATAGGAGTTTATCCTTAGGATAAAGAAGCATTCTTTATGCTTGATGTAGGAAGCATTTCTTAAGACACCAAAAACATAAAAGTATAAGAGAAAAATTGAGCCAGGCACAGTGGTGTCATCCTGTAGTCCCAGCTACCACATGGTACATGTGCCCTGTCCACTGTATCACAAGTTTGAAGATTAGTAGAGAGTACAAAGAATAGACATAAAACTAATTATGTTTTTAGAGAAAAGTACCATCTGGAAGGTCAAAGTAGAGATTAGAAGTAAAGTACAATTAATAATGAGTATATGGGTTGAGCATACCAAATCTGAAAATCCAAAGTGCTCCAAGATTTGAAACTTTTTGAGCACTGACATGCTTAAAGGAAATGTTCATTGGAACATTTCAGATTTTGGATTTTTGGATTTGGTATGCTCAGCTGGTAATTATAATGCAAATGTTCCAAAATCCAAAACACTTCTGGTCTCAAGCATTTCAGATAAGGGATACTCAATCTATACATCTTAATTAAGTCCAGTGATTTTTACAAAAACAAAAACCAGAGACAAACTAACATGTGTCTTCAAAGGTGCTGGAAAGTGAGAAAGCAGGTGAGAGGAGGTGGTTGTCTGTGAAGAGTAGTCACCTCAGTCTGGCTGAGCTTGCTCATCATAACTGCCTCTGATCTTCTGCTTTTGACAAAATGGTGTATGGAGAGCTTGTTCAGTTTGTTCATACTGGTTCATTGGCCGGGCAAATCTGTAATGTGTAGTGGACAACATAGTGAGATGGGAAGAAAATTGCGAATGACCCTGAATATTCAGTTTATGCCTGCTTACTAATAAATGAATGCTCATATTTCCTGCTTACAGATTCTTCACAGTTTAGAATTTTTGTATAGAGTTTCTAATGCATGTTGGATAGTTCTAGTGGGTAAGCTTTTGAAATGAAAAGTAATGTAGATTTCTTATAAAAATATGTGGTCATCAACAAAATGGAAAATATATATGACCATAATGAAGAAATAAAATGCATTCATAATTCTGTTCACCCAGAGGTAACCAGTTTTTAGACTTTAATGAATTCTCAAAATTGAACTGATGAGACATAAATTGGGTAAAAAGAACTGAAGACTGAAATTACTTATATAAGTATATTTTTGCCATCTTTCCTAGGATCATAACAAAATGTATTTAAAATAACTCTCTTCTAAACTGTGACAAAACTCCAGTGCTCCAGTACCTAGACATAAACTAGGTACTTTATGTCTTACACTTCTGTCAGAATTTAACAAATATTCCTAACAAATGCAGCTATTTGGTTTTGGCAGCTCACTGTAAAGGATACCAAAGCAGAAGAGTTGGCATGAAACAGGAGATGCTGTTAGAAGTGGACACATGGCCACAAAGAAAGTGGCAATGATACTGATAGCCTAACTTGAAAGAGGGAGATTGGGAAACTGAAAAACAGGCCTAGAGCATTAACAGAGTCAACAAATACTGGATGGTACCTAGTAGTGACCCTGAGTCAGCAAGGAAAGGCTAAGTAGCATTTGCTTGAAAGGCAGAAGATAAGGAGTGCTTCATAGGATTGCTGTCTTAAATAGTGGAAATAAAAGCTTTGGTGTTTAAAAATTAAGCTTTAGTAATTTGGAGTCTTTTCTGTGTGGAGTGCTGAATACCCCAAAAGAGCTAGATAAATAAGACATTATGTACATACATATGTACTGTGTATTTTGGATCTGATAACCCACGATGGCTCCTAAGTGACTAACAGGCAGGTAGGTAGTGCAGATATGCTAGACAAAGGGAATACTCAGTCCTAGGTAGGACAGAGTAGGATGGTGCAGGATTTTATCACACTATTCAGAATAGCACAGTTTAAGAATTATGAATTGTTTATTTCTGCAATTTTCCTGTCAGTATTTTCATACTGTGGTTAACTGTGAGTAACTGAAATTGATTTTCATGGAAATTGAAACTGTGGATAAGGAGGGACTACTGTAATTTAAAACTAGTAGGTGCCTTATGGGGAGTACGTTGGCATATTTGCTAATTGCTACTTACTGTCATAAAAATACTAGCAGTCATAGTTGTAAAAGAGAAAATGAGATTTTTAGGATCTGTTTTATTGTTTGTTCCCTATGGTTATGAATGCTTCCATTTCAGGAAGGAACATCTGCCATGGAAAATCTAAATGAAATGCAGTGTATGTGGTTTCAGACAGAGTGCATTTCAGCTTATCAGCGTCTGGGGAGATACGGGGATGCTTTGAAAAAATGCCATGAAGTAGAAAGGGTAAGTAGTTAGAATTTTTACTTCAGTTTTCTTCTCTAAGGTGATGAAAAAAGCAGATAGATTTTCTACATAAGATCATCTGCCTCTTCTAACTACTCTGGGAGCTTCATTGTGAAAACAATTCTTAATCTTTAATCTTCCAGACATTCAGAAGTTATAAAAAAAAAAGATTGCTTTTTTGATCCTCAAATGGTTATGCTTTTGACATGTCTATATATTTTTATTTGAAGGAAAAAAGAAACATTAATTTAGAAAACATTATTGCTATTATTAACATTAATTCAAAATTTCTGTTCCCCAGTTAGGCCATTATATGCTTTTCATTGCTAGGCTAAGAGGACACACAGCTGATGGCAACCTCTCTCCCCTTTAAAACGTCAGGATCTGGTCCGCAGTCAGCCTCTCTCCAGTTTGTCTTCCCAGGATGTTTGTTCTCACATTCAGTACTCTGTACAGCAATCTATGGCCATTTTGGAGGCTTATTTTATTGCTTGCTTTTAGGATGATGTGTGCGATGTACCTTAGTGAGGGGACTTTTCTTTTCCTTTGTGTGAATTTTTGTTTTCCTGTTCTTTGTCATCTCTGAAGCACTCTCCTTCCACATGGACCACAGGAGGAAAAGAGCCGCAAATGCACCCCTGAGGCAGTCCTCAGCAGCCCTCAGTTGTGGGGGCAATCGGCACCACTGTTCCCATGCTGACGCATATAGAACCACAGGCATCGTAGTCAGGTGAGCCTGATGTCTGCACCGTGGCAGTCACTTTGGCCTTTTTCCCACGTGAAACTTCTTAGGTTACTCACCAAGAAGGCTAACTCTTACAGGATGGCTTTTGATGTTAACTAGAACTAGGATTATACCCAAGGATTTTTAGAAATACAAATACCTAATTTTTTATTTGTTTTGGGTTTTTGTTTTTCCTGCTTTTTTAAGCTTGGGCTTAGTGGCTTTATATCTGGGAAAAATCCTTTCTCATCTTCTTGAAAGTGATATAAAGCCCTTGGATGATATGTGAAATATCCAAGCATTCTGGCTTAAATTAGGTTCTTATTTCTGTGATAAAATTGCAGATCACAAGCTTGTTTTAACACTTCCTAGAACTGTGGTCCCCAACCCATGGGCCCAGGACCCGCACACTTCTGTAGCCTGTTAGGAACTGGGCTGCACAGCAGCAGGTGAGTGGCAGGCCAATTAACAAAGCTTCATCTGTATTTACAGCCACTCCCCATTGCTTGCTTAAGCTCAGCTTCCTGTCAGATCATTAGATTCCCATAGGAGCATGAACTCTATGCTCCAAACTGCACATGCGAGGGATCCAGGTTGCGCTCCTTATGAGAATCTAATGCCTGATGATATAAGGTGGAGCTGAGGTGGTGATGCTAATGTTGGGAAGTGGCTGCAAATACAGATTATCATCAGCAGAGAGGTTCACCTGCATGGTAAATGCAATGTGCTTGAATCATCCCCAAACCATCCCCTTGACTCCCTGTCTGTAGAAAAATTGTCTTCCATGAAACTGGTCGCTGATGCCAAAAAGGTTGGGGACCACTGCCCTAAAAGACCCGTGCTTTAAAAGCATTCTGCTTATTATTAAGGAAGTATACATTATTATTAACCAGGGCATTCTCAGTGGGAAGTGAAGTCTTTCCTGAATGAAGAAGCTGCTAGGCACTTATGGAATAGTAATTCCAACAAGACCATAATCAGAAATTTAACAAATTGTTGGTGTATGTGAAATTTGAATATCCTAAGGATCATTATAGTTGTGAAATTTTTGAACTTAAATCTCATTCCTCCTAACATTAATAACTATATAGCTTTATTCTTTTTAATATTTTTGAGAATTTTTAGAATATGATATGTAGATCTTCCATGACTAACTTTGATTTAGATTATACATTCCCTTAAATTTTAGTGATATGGGCTGAGTTGCATGGAATAAAATTCTGTAATGTCAGATAAACTACTTCTAGTTCAAGGAGTGATTTAATTGTAGAAAGCATTTTTTTGAAGAAAAAAATACAAGGATTAAAAACACAAAAGAATTTATCACTCTCTGGTCATGTTACATAATTGCTGATAGAAATAACCATATTTAGGATTTGTTGTTAGCATTTGAGCATAAAAAGAACTAGTAACAGATAAATAAGAAAAGAGCCTATTCTTATGCTACTTGTAAGCTAATCTTTTTATAATGAATATATCTATACTAAAAGCAAATGAAACTTAACTTTTTTTGTAGTTAATATGTTCTACATATGTGGTTATATGTAGAAATATGTTTAGTACATAGGGTGACTAAATAGGTTGACCTAATGATTATTTATTAAATTAACTTCTAATATAATCTAAGAAAATTCTTAATGATATCATGGAAGGATTTAGGAGTAATTACAAACTTCAAAGATTTATTATAATTGGTATCTGCATGAGTTACCATATACATGGGTTTTAAGTATTTTAATAAGGAAATAACACATTTAGAAATAAAACTTAGCTGTTTACCTTCTAAGCAGAAGGTTAGTGAATTGAGAAATAAGTTCAAGTAAGGGCCATATCTTTCTTCTGCCTTCAAGGAGTCTTTTGTTGAAGGCAGTTTTTCAGCTAAGGTATTTATTGCAATGAGCTCTTAGTAATTGAATTTAAAAAGTTAGAATTCTAGACTGGTCCAGTGGAGTACCTTTTCTGTCTTCATCTTGCCCCTTTCATAGAATTTTAAGATTATATATAAAGCTTATAATAGTTCAACACAATTTGATGTTTGAAACTTGAACTTTATTAAAACAAAAAAAAAAACCCCGACTTTCTTCAAATTGGTTGCACTCATGCCTATAATAATGAATCCTAGCACTCTGGGAGGCCGAGGCAGAAGGATTGCTTGGTCTCAGGAGTTTGAGACCAGCTTGAGCAAGAGTGAGACCCTTTCTCTACAAAAATAGAAAAAATAGAAGGTGTGGTGGCACAGACCTATAGTCCCAGGTACTTGGGAGGCTGAGGCAGCCTCCCAAGGATCACTTGAGCCTAGGGGTTTAAGGTTTTAGTGAGCTATGATGATGCCACAGTACTCTAGTCGAGACAACAGAGGGAGACTGTCTCCAAAAAAAAAAAATTGGATGTAAACTGTATTCAGAATAACATTTTAAACTATTTTATCTTTCAAGAATTCAGTTTTCTTTTTTTTTTTTTTCTTCCCTCTCTTACTATTAGACTTCAGGTGATTGGGTTCTCATTCTTATAGTGTGCCAACCTAATTTGAAACAGGGCAAAGTTATAAATACATATTTATAACTCTGATAAGAGATGGGATTTCTGATTTAAACCATAGGAAGTTCATAACTTTATCTTTTCTTGTATCTTAATCTTTATCAAATTGACATATGCTTTATAATGACATTCTCTATAAAAGAAATTAAGTTGATTGATCTGATAGTTGATCTAGTTATTATAAGGTCAGAGGTTTTTGTTTCCTTTCTCTTATTATAAGCTCTTATTGGTTGCATTTAGAAACTCTAAGAGGTAATAGGCAGGAGAATCTGTGCCAGAAGAGAGTGCCTAATAGGGAATTCCTAAAAAATAAAACCAACCACCACCAACCTCTAAAGCTATGAATGGCTTAATTCTTGCTCAGGGAGAAAGAATTAAGGGAATGAGCTATATGTTAAGATTTGAATACCTAAGTTTTCTGCAGTGAGCTGATAAGTGATTTTATCATGCTCTTCATGTTTGGCTAAAAAATAAAAAGTGCAGGAAAACTAACTTTATCTGTTTGTATTATCTAGTATATCTTTATGTTTTACAAATTTAGAGACTAAAATATCAACCCAAGATAGTACAAGGGAGAGCTTTGTGATGGAGTTGTTCTGTATCTGGATAATGGTGGTGATTACATGAATCTACACATGATAAAATCACATATACACACATTGTACTAAAGTCAGTTTCTTGGTTTTGATATTGTACTATAGTTATGTAAGCTGTAACCTTTGGGAGAAACTGAGGGAGGGGTGTACAGGACCTCTGTTTACCTCCTTTGCAACTTCTTCTGTATCTATAATTATTCTAAAACAAAAAGTTAAAAAAAAAACAACCCAAGATTATCTAGTTGTTCCTATGTAGAATTCTGCAATATGCTATTTCTTTGCAAAAGCAAAAGTATTAATAAGCCATAGCTGCAATATCCTACTTTTTCTAATTTAATCTAGCCATATTCTGTCTATAGTTGTTAGCTAATTATAGAGTGATTAACCACCCAGGTTTGCTTGAGGCTAAGCAGGTTCCCAAGACACAGTGCTTTCATTGGAAAAACAGGGAAAGGCTCTGGCAAACTGGGATGAGTTGGTCACCCTATTTGTGGAAGACATTAACTGGAGAGAGGCAGCCTATGGGCTAGTACTGATAAAGAGGGGCATTAAATATTTGGGGTTCCGTATGGCTCCTTCTGAGACTTGACTTAAAATCTGTGTCTACTGATGCTGCTAGGAATATCTCTTGAAGCTTGTCATCTGCCTTTTTACGTGTTTCTCAACCTAAAAAATATCCTATAATCTTTTAGATGTTTTGATCTCATGTGTGTTCCATGAGTTTTAGCACTGCCATTTTTCCTTAGTTGTAATGAATTTTAAGATATTCTTGTAGTGCTAGAAATAACTTGATTTACATTAAGGCAAACCACTAACAACTTATGAAATATGTAACCCATTGATTTTTAAAAAAATAAAACCAAGTTTATGTTAAATTGTTTATGAGTTGACTTGTCTTATTGGTGGGAAGAGTACAGTTTTCAAATGTATTAAATAACAATTAAAGCATGGCTTTTTAGTCATAAATACAAACTAATATGAAATGTTCATTTCTTGCCCTCTTTTACTGTGTACTTTTATTCTTAGAATTCTTCTCTTAAAGTCTTAGGTACTTAATACAATTCTGTGTATAGTGTGTTTCTAATTACCAAGATAATCATGAAATGATTATGGGAAATTACTAATGTGTCCTCTGCACAGTGACTTAATCAGACCTCAAAGACAGAGTGAACATGAAGTAGTAGAAGAGCTTGATCTGTATTGGTGTACTCATTTTTCTGTATAATTTTGGAGAAGCTGAAGTAGGAGAAAAGAAGTCAGAGGTAGAAGTGCCTATAGGGAGATAATATAAGTAAAAAATTGTTTTATTGTGGGGTAGGGGGTTAGTGTTCTTCTTTTAATGGAAAGTATTAGTTCTTAACCTCTTTTGGCCACGGACTCCTTGAAAATTGGATGAAAGTTTTGAGCTCCGTAAGAAGAAGTTATTATACTTATTTATATGTAGTCTCCAGATTAAGAACTTCTGCTAAAATGGAAGGCAGGTAGGTTAAGAGCCTATTGAGTAAGAGAAAACCATAATGTCCTGCATTTGTATAGCAGTTTACAGTTGCGAATGAACTTAAGTTATTTGATCCTTAACCAACCTTAAGAAATTGGCTGTGTAGATTCCTTTATTCCTAACTTAGATTAAATAATTAAGGCTCTAGCTTATCTCTTGAGTTGGCAAATACTGTGCTTACTGAAAGTCTACTTAGTTTGTTAGGCCCTGTGGCAGGCAGTAGGGATAAAGAGGACAAGCCTTGCCCTCGAAGAGATCACAGTTGAGTAGAGCAGTCTGATTTTAAAACATTTAGTGTGAACCTACATATGTTTAGTCTTTATTCAGAGCTCTGTTAAACTCTGCCATGTTGGTTTTTAGGGACTATGGAGGAGAAATAATTCATTAAAACTAAAATATCAGTATGTTTTTAAACAACACCATCTTTTGACGTATCACATCGAATTTGAGTGTCATCACATTTATAGGGAATGGAGATGTTTTCTAGGAAAGACACTCTAGAACTTGAATACAAAGAACTTGATGTCCTTTATAGGACATGGGAGAGGGCAGCTGGTTGAAATTGTAATTGGTTAAATTGTTTTGGGGGCTCTTTATGATTTTCTTTCAAAAGGTTGACATTATTGTCATATATGTGAGAGATAATTTTGTGGTTTTGTTTTTAAGCATTTTTTTGAGATAACCGATGATCAATTTGACTTCCATACATACTGCATGAGAAAGATGACCCTTCGTGCCTATGTTGACCTTTTGAGATTAGAAGATATACTCAGAAGACATGCCTTTTATTTCAAGGCTGCTAGATCAGCGATTGAAATATATTTGAAATTGTTTGATAATCCCTTAACCAATGAAAGCAAACAACAAGAAATAAATTCAGGTAACTGAAAAAAACTTTCTTAAAAAGATTTGAAAAAAACACTAAATTTCAGAATGTCATTTTCATGAACAATATATAGAAAAGTATATTGTCAGGTGGATATGAAGACAAACATTAGATAACTGATAATGCCAAAAATAAACAAAAGTGTCTGAGGTGAGGGGAGGCCTTAACAAAAGGGGGGTGATGATCTGTTGATGATGCTTCTAAATTACCCTAATGGAGTGACGTGCAGTTTTTCTTATTGTTACCTTCTGAAAGACCACTCTAGGAAAAATAAGAAATGTCTATGGGCTGGTTTCATTTCTTCTTCTTTTTTAAAATTGTAATTAAAAACAGCTTTGAGCCACTTAGGGAACAGTGAGAATATCTGCAGAGCTTTTTATTCACTAGAATGTTAACATCTAGGAATATTTTTGAAATAGCATGGAAGCACATTTCTAAGCTTTTATTTCTAATTTTATATAGTGTTTATCATAGGTGTTTATATGCATTATCTCACTTATCCTTAGACTATTCCAAGAAGAGGCTAGTTGGTAATATCAGCCCCACTTTATGCAGTTAGGGACTTGACACTAAGAGGGGTGAAATGATTTGCCTGAAGTGGTGTATTATGTAAGAGACAGAACTGGGTTAGGTTAGTTTTGGTTAATGCAGCATTTACTGGTTGCCTTTTGTGTATCAGGTTTTGTGCTAGTCACTGGGAATACACTTTCTAAAAACTTCTATTTAGTTGCCTATACTTTTCTAAAAATTTCTGTGTAGTTGCCTCCCCTCTCCCAGCCAAAAAGAAGGTAATACAGTTGGCCCTCTATATCAATTGGTTCTACACCTGTGGATTCAAGCAACTACAGATAAAAAAAAACATTTTTTTTTTTTTTTTTGAGACAGTCTCACTCTGTTGCCCAGGCTAGAGTGCCGTGACATCAGCCCAGCTCACAGCAACCTCAAACTCCTGGGTTCAAGCAATCCTTCTGCCTCAGCCTCCTGAGTACTGGGACTACAGGCATGTGCCACCATGCCGGGCTAATTTTTTCTATATATGCTTTTAGTTGGCCAGTTAATTTCTTTCTATTTTTAGTAGACAGGGTCTTGCTCTTGCTCAGGCTGGTTTCGAACTCCTGACCTTGAGTGATCTGCCCACCTCGTCCTCCCAGAGTGCTAGGATTACAGGCATGAGCCACTGCGCCCAGCCCAAAAATATTTTTTAAAATGATTGCATCTGTACTGAACATATTTTTTGTTATTTCCTAAACAATACAGTATAACAACTATTTACATAGTATTTATATTGTATTAGGCATAGGTATAGACTTTAATATGGTTCACCAAAAAAGGATGTCATTATACAACAACTTAAAGCAAAAGGAAGGTGAAAGAAAGATCTAAAGCTGATCTAGAGATCATTTGAAGCATACTGCATGAGGATAGAAGATGTGCACAGGTAATATTCAAATACTATGCCATTTTACATCACAGGCTTAACCATCAACAGATTTTGGTATCCTTTGTGGGTCCTGGCACCAGTCTCCCACTGATACCGAGAGATGACTGTACTTTATAGTATGAGGGAAAATGCAAACATTGACTTAGAATTTTGTTCATTTGGATATCTGTAGAAAACCTGTCAGCCAAAGAATTGAAGAAAATGCTTAGCAAACAGAGAAGAGCTCAGAAAAAGGCTAAATTAGAAGAAGAGAGAAAGCATGCGGAAAGGGAACGTCAACAAAAAAATCAAAAGAAGAAAAGAGATGATGAAGAGGAAGAAGCCAGTGGTCTTAAGGAAGAACTTATACCTGAAAAATTAGAAAGGGTGAGATTAATTAACTGTCTTTGCTATTTGGTAAAATTTGTGCTATTTGGTTCTGTTCTGGCCACTAACATGATTTATTTAAATCTATAAATGAGAAGCTATTTGCAGTATTTCAAGCTCATTATGATAGCTGTCAATTACCTTTGAATGACAATATGAAAATTATACATAGAATTATAGTTGTGATAGGGCAATGGCCTTCCAAAGGTTGTCTGTGTTCTAATCCCCAGAACTTGTAACTGTGTGACCCGATATGGCAAAGGGGAATTAAGGTAGTAGATTGAATTTAAGGTTGTGATTAGCTGACCTCAAGATAGGGAGATTAGCTTGGATTGTCCATGGGGACATGATCAGAAGGAGCCTTAAAAGTGGAGGGAGTTGCCAGAAGAGGTCAGAGTGACTGATGTGAGGATTCAGCCTGCTGTTGTTGGCTTTGAAGATGGAAGGAGGGGACCACAAGCCAAGGAATGTGGGCAGTCTTCAGAAGCTGAAAAAGACATTGAACGGGTTCTCGCCTAGAGCCTCCAAAAGGGAATATAGTCCTCCTGACACTTTGAATTTTAAGCCCAGTGCGACAGACCTGTTTTTGCTGTTTACCCTACAGAACTGTAAGATGATAGAGTTCATGTTGTTTTAAGTCACTAAATGTTTAGTGGTTTGTTGCACCAGCAGTATAATTGCCTATTAAATATGGAGTCATTTTACTTTATATGTCTTACTAGATATGTTTTAGCTACAAAGAGATAGCACTTCATCTCCAGGATTTTTTCAAGGTGTTGATAGTTATTTGGGGACCAGATTTAGGAAAATATTTAGCTTTCTGGTTCCTTCACTGTAAATCTAGTATAGTTGACTCTTGAACAATGCAGGTTTGAACTGTGCAGGTCCACTTATATGTGGATTATTTTCAGTAATTATGTTGGAAATTTGTTATGGAGATTTGTGACAATTTGAAAAACTTGCAGATGAACTATATAGCATAGAAATTCTGAAAAAATTAAGAAAAAGTTAGATATGTCATGAATACATAAAGTATATATAAATACTAGTCTATTTCACCATTTACTACCATAAAATATATATAAAACTATTGTAAAAAGTTAAAATTTGTTAAAACTTGCATACTCAAGCACTTTAGACAGTACAGAGCACCATTGACAGTCAAGAGAAATGTAAACAAATGTAAAGATGCAATATTAAATCATAACTGTGTGAGCAGTTCCTTTCTCCAATGAATTGCATATCTCATTATAAATATGAGAATTATAAATTCTCATAAAATTATAAAATTATAATATTCTGACATATTTTTCATCATGTTTAATACAATATTGTAAACCTTGAATAATACCATGGGATCCATATGAAGTGCCACTAGTGATGCTGGTAGTGCTCCTAAGAAGCAGAGAAAAGCTATGGCATTACAAGAAGATGTTGAATTTCTTGACATGTACCTTAGTTTGAAGTCTGCAGCTGCCATTGCCTGCCATTTCAAGATAAATGAATCCAGCGTAAGGTCCACTGGAGAAAAAATGGAAATTTGTGAAACTTGCTGTAGCTATGCCAGCGATGCAAAATTTTACACATTTTATGTTACACTTTTTTATCTCATGTTAAAAATGAAGCTTTTATATGGGTGCAGGATTGCTGCAAGAAAGGCATGCTTAGACAAGTTAGTATGATTTGAGAGAAAGTGAAGCCATTAAAAGATAACTTAAAGCAAAAGGAAGGTGATGGATTTAATCTAAAGCTTGAGAATGTAATGCCAGCAAAGGATTGTGTGATAATTTGAGAAAGAGTTTTGGTTTTTAAGGCCATTACTTTTTTCCCACTTATGTGGTGGTATTATATTTGACTTCTTATTTTAGATGTTTTTAGATTTCCTTAGATGATATAAGGGAAGGAGTGGTATACCATCTCCTTAAGTCTATGGAATATTTTATGTACTTTTTAATAAAATTACCTTGATTTTATATCAGAAAAACAATAGACCTGTTTCTGTTTTGAAAATTACTGACTGTGTACTTTGATTTATTTGCAGATGGTTTTAAGATACTTTCTTGCTCCAATCTGAGCAAGAGCTAGATCCCGTCTCTACTAAAAAAATAGAAAGAAATTAGCTAGACAACTAAAAATATATATAAAAAATTAGCCAGGCATGGTGGTGCATGCCTGTAGCCCCAGCTACTTGGGAGGCTGAGGCTAAAGGATTGCTTGAACCCAGGAGTTTGAGGTTGCTGTGTGCTAGGCTGACGCCACGGCAATCTAGCCTGGGCAACAGAGTGAGACCGTTGTCTCAAAAAAATATACATATATATTTTTTTCTTGCTTATTTGATTATATGAATAAAACTGCCTAAATGTCTTCAGATATATATTATTATGAAATTTTGGGGGGAAATTTGACTTGTATAGCTGTTTTTAAAATAGAATAATTTTCCTTTCTGTTTCAAAATAGGTAGAAAATCCATTAGAAGAAGCCATCAAGTTCCTTATACCTCTTAAGAACCTTGTTGCTGATAACATTGACACTCATCTATTAGCATTTGAAATATATTTTAGAAAAGGTAATAGTTTGAGTTCAATTTATAATCCTTTTATATTTGTGACCATACTCAGTGTGACAAAATCTTTGTCAGATCTATTTTTGTTTCTTAGATTTTTATTCAACCTTCCACAAAGTCCCTTAATCTTAACTCTTTTCCTTGGCTACTCAAAACTTTTCTAGATAATAAATTAGAATATTACTATCAAATCCAGTTTAAGAATAATGAATGTGTTGAATAATCATACACATTGTTTACTCAAAGCAATTTTTCATGAATTTTCAAGTTTTTCTTTAGAAAGCAATATTTGTCTTTGATAACCAAAGTCATCTTTGAATGTTGCTTATGAATGTTTTTAAAAAGGTAACATTATGTTATAGAATTTAAGAGAGGCTAAAGTGAAGGAAATATCACATAATTAATTATGCTATTATTTTTATATTTTTTTCTGACACAGGAAAGTTTTTGTTAATGCTGCAGTCTGTCAAACGAGCTTTTGCCATCAACGGTAATAACCCATGGTTACATGAATGTTTAATTAGATTTTCTAAATCTGGTAAGTATAAAAAAGGTAATGTTTATTGAGAAGCAAATATGAGCTGTCTTCCATTAAGCTGGACATTTGCAACAATGTAAAGCAAAAGAAGAATAATGTTTATAGTATTTAAATGAAGAAGTGTCTATAAAATGTTAGCCAAGAGATGTAGAAATTAGTGCATATTTAGACTAGAATGTATTTATATTTCAAAGGAATAATAATATTTTTACTATGTTAAATATATCAAGCTTAATAAAAGGCTTCAATAGATTTTTTTTCAAAAGACAGATTAAACTCAAAACCAAAAAATCTAAATGTTTTTGTTTTATAGTGTCTAAGCATAGTAATCTTCCAGACATTGTGAGCAAAGTTCTATCTCAAGAAATGCAGAAAATATTTGTCAACAAGGATTTGGAAAGTTTTAATGAGGATTTTCTCAAACGTAATGCTACCTCTCTTCAGCATCTGCTTTCAGGTTTGTATTTAGCTCCCAGGGTTAAATTGTTTATGGGAGAAAACAAACAAAGCAGAGAAAGAGCTTTAAGTGCAAAGATATTTACTGAAATGTGTGTAAGTATAGAGAAAGAAGAATGGGAACAGATTTAATATATGTCCCATAATAGGGAAAACAGTGGTAGATTCATCGGCTGTGGTACCAGGTAGTCATTTAAATGTGATCACTTCAAAGTGATGTTTATTCAAAGGGTTTGTAATAGCAGGCAAATATTTTTATAGTATCTTAACAGAATTGAACATATTATACCATCACAATGTATGGGAAAAAGGCTGAAAGGAAGTGTGTACCAAAGCTTTAATGTTGCCTTTAGGTGTTGTGGTTATGAATGATTTGTTTTTTCTTGTAATTTCCAGGAGAAATATAAACTGGGTTTTATTTTTAAATAGTTTTTTAATTATTTTCTTTATGAATATATTAATGTAAACATTTTACAAAGATTAATACAAACATTAAATATTAATATGTTAATACAAACGTGGATATGCTCCGTGCTCATATGTGACAGTAATTTGTTCCTTAGATGTTTTATTTTGGAGTATCATCTTTTTTCACAGTTTTGGCTGAAATATCCATCGATGCGATAGGGCAGTCCATATTTACATTTTGAATTATGTCATTTCTAAGGGGAGGAAGTTGTTAAGTAAGTGTTCTTATTATAAATATTTAATAACCATCTCTTTGTGAAGGAAAAAAGCTCTGATTTGTAGTGTTTTTTCATGATATAAATATTGTCATTGTGGCCCCAAGTTATCAATGGCATGTCACTGAATAGGAAATTGGGAAGAGATGACACAGTGGCTCTTAAGAGCTTTTGGTCTCCAGCCCACTGCTAATTAAACATTTGAAATCACATTTTTATTTTAAGTCACTGCTAAGTATGTATCAGATCAAATATAAGGCATAGGAGTTTATTCATTTTGAAATGCCTTGGTATTTTAGGTGCTAAAATGATGTATTTTCTGGACAAGTCAAGGCAAGAGAAAGCAATTGCTATAGCCACTAGACTGGATGAAACTGTAAAAGATAAAAATGTAAAGGTAAGATTTATCACGGGCTGATTTATAGATACTGAGTGATCTAACAAAACGTGTGTCTTTACATCATAATTCTTAAGTGGGCCTTCAGAGTTATGCCTGGATTTAAGTCTCAGCACCAGCAATTGTGAGCCAGCGTAACTTCAGGAAAGTTATGTCTCTTAGCTTCCTTTTCGTCATTTTTAAGATGAGGATGACCTACAGAGTCAGCATAAGAGTAAACTGAAACAAAATGTGAAGTGCTTAGTGCCTGGCACATAGTAAGCACTCAGTAAATGTGTGCTATTGTTATTAATAAAAGACACTTTAATTTTTAGTGATCATAGTTTTAGAGGTTCCCTTCCTTAGATATTAGAATGTTACTGCTTTTACAAAGGATTTGCAGTTTATTTATTTATTTATTTATTTATTTATTTATTTATTTATTTATTTTTATGGCCCCAGGTGAGGTCTGATGCAGAGTTGATTCTTAATATCCCTTTTTGAGGTGATTACTTAGTGTAGATAACACGAAGTTATTTTAGACTGAGGCAGCTTTTTCTTGGTCTAATTAAAAAATTGCATTTTTTGATTAAAGTGATTATAACTGAACTTATCATTTCTTGATAATTTGTATTTTCCCCTTGTTTTATTAGACTTTAATAAAAGTTTCTGAGGCCCTGCTTGATGGCAGCTTTGGGAACTGTAGTTCCCAGTATGAAGAATATAGGATGGCCTGTTATAACCTGTTTCCTTTCACCTCTGCTTTCCTGCCTTCTGTGAATGAAGTCGACAGTTCCAGCACAGCACTGAACCATACAGCTAACTATGATGTCTTTGCAAATGAAATTTGAAATCTCATAGAACTTTGACTCCTACAGACTCATCACTGAATTCAGATCAGGGTTTCTTTCCAGGGTGCATTTTAATATAGGTGTGAAATGAAATATTTGGTTAGAAGTTATAAATAGTATATTCTGTAAGCTTCTTTTAGTCTTTATCTGACTCTGCCAGTTTACATTTGTTAAAATTTGTTTAAACATTTGTTAAAATTTTAACATTTGTTAAAATGTTTAAACATTTGTTTAAACATTTGTTAAAATTGCCTGTTTATACTTGTACAGTTTTTCTTAAACTCCCTAATTAACGGCATTGTGGTAGCTGCTGTGTCTGTGTCATAATTATGATTATTTCTTATTAAGCTAACTTGTATACGCCCTACTATATTATTTTCTTTAGATCCTGGTTTCAGTATCTCTGTTTTGATCCCTTGTCTTATTGGTTTTATTATTGCTCTTTAAAGCATATCAGTTTTAAAGTGTCAACTGTGTTAAAAACCATATGGATTCCTCTTGGCAGATATTGAGGTTTATTTTAAAATTTAATTTTGCCACTTTTCACCTTAATTTCTCATGATTTACCATTTCCTTTGTAATACCCATCAAAGTGATATTTTCTGGTTAATTAAGGGTACTCTAGTTTCAGAATGTGAAGTTTGGTTTGCCTGTCAGTTGTGGAAATTCACTGGTAAATTTGTTGCATCTCTCTCTATACCAGTCTTAAAGACCCACAGGCAAGAATTACGTTTTTTTTTACTACGTTGCTTTGAGTGTTAACACGTAGTTTATATTGAGGTCCTTCAAGGGAGCATATTAGGGCAGAATACAAATTAAAACCGAACATTGTTACTCTTATAACCATGCGTTAACTATTAAATGCATTTTTATATCAGCAAAATGAGAATTTAAACACTCATTAGTTCAACTATTAAGACATAGTATTGTTGAACAGTATATTTTGGGGGGATAGCTTTTTGTTCTATCTTGTACAGAAAACAGTAATGGAATCACTCAGTATGTTCAGAACCCTGTAAATATATCTGTAATATTAATGCTTCCCTTAAAGACAAATATAAATTCAAAAAGGGAGATTTTATTTAGACAAACAGTTCTAATTAAGATGGTTTTCTTTTACCCTAATCTATTTAGATTCACAATTGCTGAAAGAGAAAAAAATTCACTATAAAATAATGCCAGCCTAGATAATGCTATAATAAATTATTTTGTACACAGTTGCTTATTTGTGGTTTATTATTGCTTCACACTATTAATATTTTTCGCAAAGTATTTTTTGAGGAAGTAGAAATTTAATCACCATAATCTTTTCAAGTTTTATGAAGAATATAATTCTCAACACTTACCAACTATATTTTGATGCCTTGGTAACTTGTCTTTTTTTGGGTGTTTTAATAATTTTAGAACTATAGACAGTTCCAGCCTTAGGATGGTTCAACTTAAGATTTTTCGACTTGACAATGGTATGAAAGTGATATGCATTAAGTAGAAACTATACTTTGAATTTTGATCTTTTCCTGGGCTAGTGATATGCGGTATGATTCGCTTACATGAGATATTCAACAGTTTATTATAAAATAGGCTTTGTGTTAAATGATTTTGCCCAATTGTAGGATGATGTAAGTGTCCTGAGCACATATAAGGGATGTTGGGGGCTGGGAGAGGTGTCTCATGCCTATAATTCTAGCACTCTGGAAGGCTGAGGTGGGAGGATACCTTGAGGCCAGGAGTTTGAGAACAGCCTGAGCAAGATTGAGACCTCAAGACCCCATGTCTACAAAAGAAGAAAAATTAGCTGGGCATGGTTGCATGTACCTGTAGTCCCAGCCACTCAGGAGGCTGAAGCAGGAGGATGTCTTGAGCCCAGGAGTTTGAGGTTGCAGTGAGCCACAATGATGCCACTGCATTCTAGCTGGGGCAACAGAGACTCTGTCTTAATACAAAGCAAAAAAAAGGAAGGCCAGGCTAAGCTATGATTTTTGGTAGGCTAGGTGTATTAAAAATGCATTTTCTGATAAAAGAGCCTTGCTAATACACTAACTGAAAAAAAAAAGGAAAAAGCTCACAGTACATAATTGCCCTTTTGAAGAGAAAGATCACAGCACAACTGCCACTTTGTTATGTTAACCATCTGTGGCTTAAGTTGTTTTATTGAGAGTTTGTTTTCCAGCACTTAAAAAGAACTGTGAGCAGGTAGTAGCAGCAGTATGATTCTTCCCCAGCTCTCACCAGACCACATTCCAAAGACTGGTAAGCCAGCCTCACAGAGAAGAGGAAAAAAGGAAAAAACAGGCACAGCCATTTCCTGCTATTAGTCTGCAACAATAAATTCCCAATAAACTTAATTTTTCCCCCCATTTTAGCCCCATAAAAAGCCCAAGCCACTTGTCCTCTGGGCTGGCACTTTCTTAACTTTGTGCCAAGCCTCCCCACCGCCATTTGGGAAGTAAAATAAACTTTCTTTATTCAGAACTATTCTAATCTTTGTGTTGAGAATTCTTTCTCAGTCCACACTGAGTTCTTACCCTAGCATCTGGTGCCCTGTACGGGGACTTCCACCCTTTTACTTCTGTCACTGGGAATTCACTTTTATGCTTCTGTCTCAAGACTGCTCCCTCTTTTGTTGCACAGCTCCCAGAACATCCTTCTTGGTGCCCTTAATATCATTTTGAATTCAGTGAGTCTCTTAGACTCTGGAGATGGTCATATGTTCAAGGTTGAGAGTGGTAGCTTTTGTCTAGGTTTGGTCTAGATGGAAAACCTAGTACTGGTCTATCACTCGGGGGGTGAGGCTGTCTTGGAGGGATCCCTCCTGACCACTCTTCCCCACGAACTTTTCCCAGACCCAGGGATGCCTGGCTTTGGGGGAACCTCTCTAGGTTTCAGTCTGGATCAGAACTTGGGGACACCCATTTTCTGGCCAGATCTCTTATCTCAAGGTTTTGGTCTGACTCAGTGAGGGACAACTGATGTCTGATCAGAACTCTGAAGGCTGTCTGAGTTGGGGATGCCCCCTCAGACCTTTTCCCTTTTGGCATAAGACCATCCCTAAAAATCCTTTTGTTTTTCCTAGTTACCATCATGGGCAATATTCAGTCAGCTCCACTTAAAGACTCCCCATTGAGATGTCTCCTTAAGAATTTAGAAACTTGGGACTTACCAACCTCCACCCCAAACACTTAGTCTTCTATTGCAATACAGCCTGGCCACAGTATAAACTGGATGACAAGGAGATTTGGCCCAAGAACAGATCTCTTAATCATAACACTCTTTTGCCACTCAACCTTTTATTTCTACTAGCTCAGCAAGTAAAGTCCCTGTGTGCAGACTTTTTTGAACTTGCTAGACATCCTGATCTTCACTCTGCCTGCCTCGTGTTACTTCTCACCTTTACATCTCTCCCACTATCTTCACTTCCCAGATGATGTTTCTCTTTGGGCTCTGTGTTCCCTCTGCTGCTGCTTCTCTGTCTCCACCATTTTGCCTGGCATGCTCATCTTCCAGAACCTATGGGCCCCCAAACCAGCCTCCTCCATACCCACAGACCCTCTGGGACTGATAGACCTGGCTTCCCAACGTTGAGATGGCCAAGCCTTAAGTAACTATGTAGCAAGTAAGCAGGTCGATTTTCTAGCTGATGCTGGAGCCGCTTATTCTGCTCTTCCTGAATTTTTGGAATCTCTACTTCCCTCCTGTGTCTCCATCATTGGAGTGGAAGGTACAATATAAAACCCCCTGTGTATTCCGCAGTCCCTCTGCTCACTGGGAGACGAAGTCTTTGCCCATTCTTTTCTAGTACTTCCCAATCGCCTGACCCCTTCCTGGTTCAGTTAGACACCTTACTCCTTTAAAACCACAGGCTTGCTTTCTTTGGACTCCTGGAAAAGACTTAAGTGGGACTTACATAGAACCTTTTTCCCTTGATATGAGCAAATGATGATACAATATTTAAGCCTAAATTCCTAACTCTGTGCTTTCAAAATATAAACTTTATGCTTTGTTTCGCCTAAAAATATCTACTATCCATATGTATGTTTGTGTGTCTATATCACGTGTATGTGCTATTATAATACCAAAATATGTAAAAGCTCTAATTGGCTTAAAATGTGCTTAAATATTTTATCAAGAACATAAGAAAGAACTCAAATGCCTTTTAGTTCATGTGACTTTGATAATCTTTGGTAAATAAAATTAGTTTTTAAATTATTAAAGTTTAGATGTTTTAAGGTCATAATTGATAAGTAGCTACATCCAAGATGGCCACTGAAAAGCAGGACACACTATTGTTAAAACTACACCTATATTTGAGAGTGCTCCTTTACCATCTGGCACCTCCGCTCAAAAGGCAGAGCTAGTTGCCCTTATTAGGGCCTTATAACTAGGTAAAGATCAAAGACTTAACATTTTCACTGACTCTAAGTATGCCTATCACATCCTACACTCTCAACGCAGCTGTTTGGAAAGAGCAAGTACTTCTCACTTCTCAACATACTTCCATCAAACATGCTAACCTAAGACTCACTCAGCTCTTAAACAGTAGCTTACAAAGTTTTCCTTAAAACTATGACAAAGCTGAATAAACCTCCTTCCCTATGCTCTTTTCAAACCCCACATCTGGCAAAAGGAAGGAATAAGTATTTATCCTGTATGACCTGTACCTTAGTTACCAAGTAGTTGATGAGGGAAAGTTCTTTATAGAATAATTGCATCTAATAAATGCAAAAGGAAAGATACAATTAAAATGCATATCACCATTTTGTAGTCTCCAATAAAATGACGGGTCTAGGCAATATCATGAATGGCTAAAACTGTTAGGTAAAAAGCTCATGGGAACTTTTTAATGAATGCATGAAGATCACAACATTTGAACCCAGTGATAACCACCTGAATTCACTGATCTACCTTAACATCACAAAGACACACACACTTTCCTGTACCTCCTGGTGCGTTCAATAAATTGTAAAACCTATGAAGTTTTCTTGCCTACCTCTCCCCCCCAACAAAAATTTCAAACCTGAATATGAACAAGTCCCTGAATAGATTTAACTACAAGTTTATAGGATATAAACCAAGATGTAGAAACACGTTGGAAGATACGGGGATGCAGTATGCAGGGCCCAGAATGTGGGAAATTCCACAGGACAAGTAACCTGGTGAATTGAACAAACTATGAAGGGAAAAGGAAGAGGGAGCCTATAGATTAAAAGAGACTTTCAGAGATATAACCAAATGCAGTGTGTGGATCTTATTTGAATAAACCAAGTATTAAAAGTATGCAAACAAGAAAAATTGATCACTAAATATTAGATAATATTAAAAAATCATTGTTCTTTTTCTAAATGGTGATAATGGCATTGGGATCATATTTTTTTAAAGTATATATATGTATATACTCAAGTAAAATGAAAAAAAAAATGCTATCTAGCTTTTTTTTTTTCTATTTTAAGAGACATGGTTTCACTATGTTGCCCAGGCTCCTGGTGTCAAATGATTCCTCTGCCTCAAGCTCCAGAGTCACATGCCTCCACACCTGGCTTGGCATCTGCTTAAAAAACAAACCCAGTGGAAGGCAGAGATGGAATGAAGTTGGCCATGTGTTGGTGAGCACTTCAAATGTGGCTATCATGGCTGGAGAACCTAATTTTAAATTTTGTTTAGTTTTAATTAATTTAAACTTAAACAGCTACAGGTGGCTAGTGGCTATCATATTAGCCAGTAACATCTAATAGTTCTTCCCAGAAGGGGCATTTTTTGCAATTCCTCCATCCACAGGGATGCCTTTTTCAAATTGTGCGAGGGAGCTATGTGTGCCAGCAGTCGCCCGCTTACATGGGTGCCTGATGACAAGCATTTATTTAGCTGGACTGTAAGCCCCCTAAGGTCGCCAACCTGCTCTGTCTTGAGTCAGAAGCGCAGAGCTCAGCACAAAGTGAATATTCACAAGTGTGTGGATGAATTCTTGCAGTCACTAAGTACTTTTTTTTTTTTCTTTGAGACAGAGTCTAACTCTGTTGTCTGGGCTAGAGTGCTATGGCATCAGCCTAGCTCACAGCAACCTCAAACTCCTGAGCTCAAGCAATCCTTCTGCCTCATCCTCCTGAGTAGCTGGGACTACAGGCATGTGCCACCATGCCCGGCTAATTTTTCTATATGTATTAGTTGGCCAATTAATTTCTTTCTATTTACAGTATAGACGGGGTCTCGCTCTTGCTCAGGCTAG